TAGAAGTCAGTAAGACTGTAAAATATTTTGTTTTAGATTGAGAGCTGAATTATACAAACTAGAGGCTCGCCCTGGCTTTTTCAGTATTGAAGTTATCTTATTGACTCTGACTTTTTCAAAGCTGTTCTATCGCCTATGTTCATCAGGGAAAATATAGGAATAGATAATGATAAAAGACTTTTTTTATTCTGTCCAATAGTTACCGAGCCGTTTCAATACAGACAAAAAATCAAAACTTTCCTCTTTATAATATTAGTAATTATATATTTGTTAAGTAATATAAAGCCTTATACCCATCATTATAGTTTTTTATTTGACTGTGCCTGCGACTTCATCAGTGTAGGAAGTAGCTTTAATTATCCCTATATGCCAGTGAAAGTACTATCAAAATTGGTCCAGTCATTTTAGAGATTAGTCGGAACAAACAGACAGAAAATCTAAATAAAGATTTTGGTATATGTACCATTGAAAATATATTAAATAATACATCTATCTACATGCAAGGTAGCAATAAGTATCTTTTACTAGCATTTTAATGTAAAACTTAACCATTAAGGTTTTAAATCTACTGGCGAATTATGCTTCTAATTATTAATTCATTAATTACTTTAATAATTTTAAATAGTTCTATTCCAGTTCCTTGGGAAATCTATGTAATTTCTTGTATTCTTCACTTCCAAAATTATTGAATATTAAAAACAGCTACAAAATTCTAAGCATTAAATATGGGCAGAAAACCATTGAAACTAAAAAAAACAAGCAACAAAAAACCCTTGATGATTATCATCTCCAAAGCTAGCAAATAAGTACTGTTGATTTTAACATGGCTTTGTCATAATATATCATGTCACACTAGAATATGGTATTGGTATTTGATAATCTATTTTAATAGGTGACACCTAAATGCTGAATACATGAGTTTATTTAAACAGTAATGCACAAAGTGTACACATGTATATTAACATAAATCGGTCAAGAACCTTCGAGTACAGTTTTTGTCTATGATTCCTGAAAATAGGTAAAAGTTAAAATAATCTCTTGAATATCATGATTATGAATTAAAAACGTATTTTTATGAATTATTTATTATTTTTCCTAATAACAAAGTAGCGTTCAAAACAATCCTTGAGAGCAGCATAATAGATGCTGCTTTCAAATATTGAAAATACGTTAATGAGCTAAGAAAGAATTTTGAAAATATATTAACATTAACATGAAACATAACCTAAAAACATGACACGCAAGATATGTAAAATAAAAAAACGACTACTTACCAATTATTTGCGCCTCAAGTTTAAACACATTTTTTTATAACTGGCTTTATTTTAAATTTTGTCAACAAAATTATAAAACTCGATTTATTCTGACTAACACAGCAATAAACAAACAAAACAAATGAAAACAATGTAAAAGGAAAACAAACGCAATAACTTTTTTGCAGTAGTTTGTTTACTCTCTGTCATTTTGATTTGACAACTTAAACTAAAAGACGTTGTTATTGTTGCCATCTTACTCATAGCCTTATGTAAACGATGCTATTTAAAAAGAGATGACTATAATTTTGTCACTAAGCTTGTTGCCTAGTTCTACAGTCTATGCCTTAGGTCTATGCTAAATAAGTAGTGATGCGATTATAAAAAAAATATTCAATTGAAGTGTATATTATACTTCTTTTCATTTCAAACAATATCAATAATAGATTTATAAGAATGACGCTAAATTGTTTTTGTTTAATAGAGCTTAAAACTTTTGAATTTTGTATTGGATATAATAAAAACAACAAAAATTGATCAAAAACTTCGGTATTTGCAACTCAATTTATTCATAAAATGGAGACAATTATATCTAGCTAGATAACCGTTTTAAACACAATTAATTATGTAGTAGCAGCCTCAATTAATAAAGAAAATTTGATATCAATTACAATATGTTGTACCATACTAGAAACTAACTAAACAAATAAATCTACATTATGGGTTTATTATAACCATATGCTATCGCTAGTTATATGTTATCAAAAACTCAAATAAATTCCTGTAAGTATACTTCACTAAATGATAATTTATTAAACCCAACTGTTGATGCACTCAAAATAATGCATTTTTCAATAAAAATAACACATATAGAAGAGAAGAAGCAAACAAAAGGCCGCTTAATTGCTAACCAGCTATCTGTTCCAGACAACCTATGGTAAAAGATGAAAATTTAACGATAGGTATACTGTGGGGGAGTAGGTACAGGTAGGTACAACGTTGGACAGGATAATTAGATAAATATAAGGTGTATACATCTTAAGATAAACACATAGATATTTGAAAAAGATGAAATAATTCTACAACGAGAAAATAAATATTTAACCCTTAACCTCTTACCACCGGTCTTTCAGACACCGTAGAAGTGTTTTTTGTTTATATTTAGACGTGAGTTCACCGTTCAGTTTCGTGCGTCCATATACCTTCCTTCCGCACACGTCTGTACAGAGTGAGCAGCAGCAACGTATTGCGTGCCCGCGTTTGTCCACGGTAAGGACTCAAACATCATCAACGGTCTGTGAGACCAGTGGTAAGTAGTTGCATGATTTTATTATTATACATTTTTTTTTATAATAAATAATGATCCTCGAAAGTCAATAACCCCTCTAAATTTATGAAAGATAAGGTTTTGTAAGATAGTAAATAAATTCAGTAATATCATAGATATTCACTCTGACTCGCCCATTAGGAACCGTAAAAAGATTTAAGCAAGTGAAATGTTCTTTGAAACTGTTATATTAGGTATATCAATCAAATACAAACAAAAGGATAAACTTTGATATTTGTAAGTCATAGTGAAGCAAATTGGTGCATGTTGTGTTTGCCTTCAATAATTTGTGGCAATTAAATAATAATAGTAAAATAAGTAAGCTAATGTATTTAATGTTGGCTAACCTATATTATCAACTCAAGAACAGAAGAAAGAAACCCCATTCCACTTTATCACGTAGAACATCTCACAAGACTTAAAATGTACGTAGAGAAAAAAAAAATGTATCTGCAACGGAATGTCAAAATTACTGTATCTTTCCACTCCTGTATAAATCCTGTAGATTTGACGGAGAGTAATTTATGAAACTGACGCTGCAGCAGTTGCAGATGGTAGATATGGTTAAGCTAGAAGTAAGTAAAACTTGTTCAAATTGAAAGACAAACCCAAGACACAGTACGTGTGTTTTGAATATAAAGCTTTATATGTCTCTAAAGACGGTCAATATGTTGCGAAAAACGGAAAATTACCAAGTTGCAATTTTATAAAAGAAAAAATTAAAATGGATCAAAATATTTTCCTTCTGTTATTTTAATAGCAATTTTGGATAAGAAGAAAAATTAAATAGGATATCGAGGTTCTATTAGTCTTTATTTCAGTTACCAAATAGGTCGTCAGTTTTTGTTAAAATTTATAGTCTCACCGTGGTCTATCGGTGATAAGTGGTTACGGAACCATAAGTACATAAGTAATGGTAAATGGCTAAGAGTTAATAAAGAAGAATGTTTGAGGATATACAGAGAGTATGACGTTTAATCTGTTCGCTGAAGAAGTCGAGTGAGTGAGCTTTCCTGATGCTCTCTACTCTACAGCATCTCTCTACAGTATGCATAGATAAGGAATAAGACACTAAGTCTATTAAGAGGCGAAGAATCTTGAGAGTGAGATTGCATGAGGATCGTAACAACTATCATGAGGAGGAAGAGCTAAAAGAAAAGTATTCCTTAAATTGGAGACAACGGAAAGAATAGTATAGAATAGAGAGCCATGTGAGCTTTCTCTTGTTGTTTCAGTCGTTTCAGTTGTTTTAGTTTTAGAAGGTTTAATTATAATACCGTATGATTCACTCCAATCGTTGATAAGTGAGAGGTCTGAATTGGTAATCAAAACTGGTCTTGAGAAATTATGTAACGGTGCCTGTGTATAGTCCTGGAGATCATAAGCGTAAAGGTGCTAGAAACATGAAATTGACTGTGTAATGGAATTTATAAAAATAAAAATAAAGAGATTAGATAAGATGCCATCCAGAGGAACGATAACGTCTGCATCACACACACTGCAGAAACTACATTGTCAATACAGATGGGCTGCCGACGCCCTAGCAGGTAACTCCGAAACCAATCAATTGCAGTTGGAGATACCTCCAAAGAAAAGAGTTATGAAAGCATTAATATCTTTAATGGAGTCATAGTTATTTAGGTAAATTATATATTATATAATAAATTATATCAAAAATTTAAACATAGATTTATAATTTATAGAATTATTTATCCATTAACTCACTAATATTCTATGTTAAATACATTAACGATTAACAATAGTGTACAGAAAAAGTGTTTATGGTTAATGTTTACCGTTTACACTCTGTGACTTTAATATGAGTTTTAATAAGTATTTTAAAATAAAAACACCAACTGGAACTAATAACTGCTTCTGAAATTACTTATTAAATGCTGTTCAGCTGAGGCTGAATTAAACACCCTATAATAATATAAATAATAATAATTTATTTGCATTTGAATAGGGTATACAAAAAATAAGTGAAAAAGTAATACAATTATCGCCTATTCAACCATTAATAATAGCATGCAAATGTAGTAAAAGAAGTCACTATAAGCACTGATCAATCCACCCCGAGCTAACGTACAGTTTCCATAGTCTAAGAATTCATGGACAACACAATAGTTTTATCCTTATTCTCAGATAAAAAAGGACGATACCCCTAATGCTGAGGAATTTTCGTAAACACCAACTATGTCGGCTTAGCATGTTCAATTACTTTTGAACATTACCAATGACGATGTTTGCACATAGTGAGAAGAAGTAATAGCTAATATAATTTTCTGCAAACACTCAAATAGCTGCAACTAGTTTTCACTTACCCAGGTCGTTGATCGTAACATTTCCGTCACGATTTGATTTTTGTGTGTGCAGCAGAACAAAAATAGCGCCAAGGGAGAGACTGCGTACGCGTCGGCAGTACTGAAATCACTACCGAGCCCAAAACGCGCATTAAAATTTAATTAATAACACCCTACATTACGACAATCACTCTTAAATCTGATACACTTATATTGAAATACGAAACTGAAGTTACTGTGATATGAAAGTGCAATTTCTACAATTATGTGATTTACTCATTATGTGTAATCAAATAGTGCCTGGATTGTGGCCAAGTGTATTGTGAACCTTAGCCTAATAGGACGTCAGCCCTTATATGTCTGGTAATTTCCAAATAAATATTAGTTACCCATTAGTTTTTAAGAATGTATACGTAATTTTGGACTATCTAATCTGACAACCACAACTGGGATGAGATATGTAAGACTTTAGATCTTTGTACTGTGTATATTTTTTTTATTTGAACTACATATATCTACAGAATTACAAATTAATTTGTCAATTTCATACTTGTCAGTACTGTGATTTTTCTATCCACATTCGCTATATTAATCATTGCATTAATATTATAAAGGCGAAAGTTTGTAAGTATGGATGTATGGATGTTTGTTACTCTTTCACGAAAAAACTACTGGACGGATTTGGATAAAACTTTACAGCAATATAGGTTATACATCAGAATAACACATAGGGTACTTTTTACTGGGAAAACTTCTCACTCCCACGGGATACCGACTTCCACGCGGACGAAGTCGCGGGCGTCCACTAGTCATTGCATATATAAAAAAAAGATTAAAAGAATTTTATTCAAAGAAAAATGTTTTTTTTTTTTTGCTGTTTAACACTAGCCAGAAGCGTTGCTTAGGATTTCTTAATTCTTAAAAATTGATTTTTGTTATTACCAAATGGATTTATACCACCCTTCACATGTCGCCGTAGACACATAATGCGTATTTACGAGGTATTTTTTTTATAATCATTATTACACATATTTCATGTTCAAAAATTCTCAAGGGATCTAATGGCTGAGGCTATCACAGGGCGACTAAAGTAAATTTAAATGTTAATCATATATAAACTGTCGTATTATAAAGAAACAGAATACTTTGTTTGGGAGTCCACACTTTATTTGGGAATCACACGTTGGTCGAATTGTGTGCAATAAAAATATTTAAAACTTAAATCGAGATTGTTTTATTAAAGTTAAATAAAAGGCTAGTGTACTATGTTTAGGACTGACCGCATCTACAGGAAAATATCAGAGAGCATGATGGCGTTTCTATTATAAACGAAACTCATAGTATCACATTAGTCAATTCCTTTTTTCTAAGTGTTATACATACGGTCAGTTAAACAACGATACAGCGGTATGTCGCTTTAAATTAATAAAATTTTTAATATTTTTTGTGCAACTAGCTGATAGGGGAAAATACTACCAGAGAAACGAAAATTATGAGCAAAGAAATATGCTTGATATAGCTTGGCTCATATTTCAATCTAAAGACTATTAGTTTGAAATAAATTATTTGAAACTTGCTATGAAAAAGATCATTAATTCGTCTCTATATTTTGAAGCTTTTTGCCAAAATTTAGCCATTTTAGAATTATTTTGTTTTTAATTATTTTAAACACAGAGCACTGAACATATTTCTATTCTATTAACAATTGTAATAGTTTTGCCATAATATTTAACAAATATCATATGTTGATATGTTGTTGTATGATAACAAACTGCTAACATATACCTACCTATACATAACTAATGCATAATTTTGGTTTGAAATTGACGATTCCAGAACACTTTCTTACAAACCAATGTTTTTGAAAGTAGTTGAAATATGAGTCAAACCATAAGAAAGCCTTTTTCTTCACTCATTATTTTATTTTCTGTGTTAGTATTTTTTGTCTACCCCGGAAGGGATTTATGAACATCAGTAATGCAAAGTTTTTAAGCTTACAATAGTTTTACAATAATCGAAATGATTTAAATGAATTAATAAAAATAATCTTAGACGCGCAATTTGTCATCCTCTGTCATATTTCATCCGTAACTCGCTCGTAGGCTTGCACGCTGGTTTCAAGGTGCTCTGAGGTCCCGGGTGCTATTCCCTGCCTGGTCAATGTAGAAAATGCACTTTTCTCTATTGTCTCGGATCTGGGTGTTGTGGTACCTTCGTTGTGTCAGATACTCCATAATACGGGGGCTTTAGCTATTCATCTTAGAATCTGAGCAATGTAGCAATATGTTCTGACTTTTGACAGCACTTACTTTATTTAAATTTTTGTTTATTCGTTAAAATATTTGCTTAAGTTATAACATTTTCTCAAGTAATTACTTCTGTCGACTATAGATTCAAGTGACAGATTATTAAAATAAATTATTAAAATTTATATGTTATTCGAACCTTACTCAAAATTTAGACCTTTCATTAGCCAACCAGTGCAAATCAGTGGAGATATGTGGAGTAACAGATTCCATATATCCCTACCGGTAACTATAATTGGAATAGAAATCCTAGTATTCCTACCAATGGGGATATGTCAGTACGGATATGTGGAATAGGGGACTTTATTAACTCCATCGGCTTTAGAGGTTACACTATCAGTACCACATACAAGACAACTGATATGAAATTGATTGTGACGTCATCGTGACGTCACTACGCTGTCTGGATCTGGAGTAGACATCACATCCTGGCAATCATCCAAGAACATTCACTCAACGATTTCGCGAGAAATGGGGACATTTTAAGCCGCCTCATTCGAGACCGAAGTTTTGAGCTCATCAAATAACTAAAATTGTACCTGCGGTCATAAGGTCATCATTCCGTAATATGTTTTATTGTTTTCAGATGTAAAACCATGTTTGAAAGAAGAAATTGAAAATGAACAACGACACAAGGCGAGCCTTGACCGGCTCTATACATAAAATTAGGGAATTTGAACTTGAAAAAGTAGGTTTAACATACCCTTTCTCAAATTTTAATGTATATATCCATGTCAAAAACTTATTTGAAACCAATTCTTTCAGGTTAGTCTTGTAGAAGAATTCGACATATTGCAAATTGTCGGGGAAGGATGGTTTGGAAAAATCCTTTTAGTAGAGCATAGAGCCTCAGACACAGAAATAGTTCTCAAAGCTCTACCTAAACCCTACGTATCTATTAGAGATTTTTATAGGGAATTCCATTACAGCTTACATTTAAGTGCACATAGGAACATTGTTACTACATTTGACGTCGCCTTCGAGACTGCCGGCTTCTATGTATTTTGCCAGGAGTATGCACCATTAGGTAATAAAATTACGTGAAATAGTATTTTTGGCTATGTGAATTATATTACATAACAGATTTTATGAAAGAAAGAAATATTCGGACATTATTTTGCCATGTTTGCAATATCTTATGTGAAAATATGAGTATCTGAACAGATATTACTGTAACACATTGTTCAGTTGCTGTGGCGGAATCACTTGGAATACAGCCAACAAAACGTTTTGAATGAATATAAATTTTTAGACTGTTCATGCGACCTCTCATTAGTACAATAGTAGTAAAATTTTATTGAAAACAATAATTTCTTAATTAATAGAATTTGAAAAATAAATTTAAGTTATAACCTTATTCTGCAATTCTAATTTCGGTATCGATTCCTTGATAGTAATTGGTTCCCAATTCAAGAAGAAATCGATGAGCTTACCTACTTTCATAATAAGTACAATCTCCTTGAACATAGAAAATCCTACTTTCGGGAATGAATTCAAAGTAAGCTATCTTTTGTTTTCTGGCCGAAATAAACATATATGATATTATCGTCTAAATAATTTAGGTGATATCTGGTGAATAACATGTTTTGTTTTGTTTTAAAATGAAAACGACTGATTTAAGAATTTTGAAAAACAACCAAAAATTGGCAGTAATATCGGTGAACATATTTAAAAAAAACATACATCACCATCGAACATATAACCTGCTTTCGGATTTTAAAATCAGTAAAAAATAATTGTAGGATACCCAAATATTTTGTTTCTGAAATAAATTATTATATAAAAGAACACTGACACACATACAAAACAGGGGTGCAGAAGTTTAAAGTACATTCGAACATTTAATGGTTACAGGTGATTTAACATCAAATATGTTAGATACTGGAATCGGGGAGATCCACACCAAAAGGGTAGCGAAACAGTTGTCCTCTGCTCTGGAACACCTTCATCAAAGAGACTTGGTGCATCGTGATGTGAAACTAGACAATATTTTGATATTCAAATCCGACTTCTCTAGGATTAAGCTCTGTGATTTTGGTGAAACTAGAAAAGCTCAATCCGTCGTTAGAAGAAGAAATGAATGGCTACCATATTCACCACCAGAAGTTTTAAAATTATGCGTAGATACCTCTTATAAGTAAGTATTCAATTATACGTAATGGAAAAAAAAGCAAAAAAGAGGAAGAATAACATACGGTTATATATACCTATAAAGTATCCTCTGATCATTTGTTTATAACACTTATTTTGACTATCATTTAATTTTAAAGTCTTTTTTTCGATATTTTAAATACTAATGGGCTTCTTATCTAACTTATTTCATTATGTTCGGCATAGGTATTACTGTATCAATCCCTAATTGTTTTTTTTTCAGAGCACTGATTACACACGATATTTGGCAATTCGGAATTGTTATTTTTATATGCCTCACCGGTTGTTTACCTTGGCAAAAGGCTGCCTTTGATGACCCTAGATATACAAGGTAAATTGCTTATCAATCGCAAAACAAAATCTCAGGCACCACCGAGACTTCTATAATGTGCATTTCAATTTCAGTTATTACAATTGGTATAACAGCTCAAATCCATTACGGAAACAACCAAAGCTCTGGAAAATGGTATCTTCGAGAGCACAGAAAATGTTCAAGAAGTTTGTAGAGCCGAGAGAAGACAAGAGAGCAAAAAATTTCAATGAACTTTCCCGATTTCTAGACGATAGATGGATGGCCAAAGGATACACCGATAGAGTTGGTACGAATTTATTGTTTTATTGTTAACCAATAAATTAACTAACTTGATATGTGAACAATTACATTTTGTTGATTTGGAAAATAAATATACAATGATTAAATCAAATCCACATGTAACGATTATATAACATTAACACGTGAATTATAGTCATTTGTATTTAACTTAACATTCTTTGCAGACTCTTATCCTTAATTGCATGTTTTTAAGCTCATATTAGTAAACCTCAAAAATAATAGCGTGAAAGCTGTGAAAATTTATTAAGTCTCATTAAAGAAAGACAATTACATAATTGTTTTAGCGGGAGGAGATATAGATGAACTTTGTCCGTCTATGTACAGTTTCCACAGCGACCCAAATGAGAAGAATATTTTTCTCAAACATTTCCGCGAAAATGGCATAGAGACAACGGTTGATCGTCAAATAAAAAAGCAAAGAATACGCGAATGGATACAAAATAGCGTCATCGAAGAAGTCAACGAAGATGTAAGTTGATCAATGGTAGCAATCCTGCTGCGCAGACTAAACTAAATTTAGTTTTCATCCTGTCAAACAATATAATCAGAAGTAAACTTATCATAAGTATACAGGAGTATAGACAGAAAAACCTATTTCTTTTATAACACGTGACTGCGGAACAACGTATAAACTAACATGAACTAAAATTATTCAGTTTTGTTTTTGTTTATTTAATTTAACGTGCCCATAAACGATTACCGGTTCATATATTGTACACATCGCCATAGACTGTTATTACATAAAACTGTTTTCAGGAGGGGAGTACCTATGAACCTAGTGTATATGATGACAGTGATGCTGAATTAGAAGATAGATCAAGACCTCATCCAATAGATGAAACTCATAGGGTAACATTAAGATACGATACGGAAAAACATATTAACCCGCGAACAGGGGAAGTAATAGATGGAGTAAAACATCAACCTGCAGACAAAAATCCTCTTTCTTATGATGTGCAAAACATTGAGCCTGTGGCACCGGCAAATATTGTTAGAAGGTACGGTGTAAAAGAAGAAGGCTCATCTCATAGTTCCACAAAAGATAGTGCTTATGGATCAATGGAAGTCAAAGTTAATACGTCCTCAAGAACAACATATAAATCTGAAAATAAACAAACGTTGAACTTGGAGCCGCCACATAATAGTCCAAGTAGGTCTCTTAGCGGATCATCAATACAGCAAAACAGGTCGCCTCTAATCAGTCATGCTCAAAGAATAAAAAGAAGTGAAGAGGTATTTTCAAAAGAACTGGACAGCATGAAAGGAAGTAGTTCAACACTTCATTCTCTAGCAGCCTCCTCGCGATCCAATAGTTTACAAGTGAATCGTAATGGTTCTTTAGATAGTACTTCTAATTTAAATATTGAAGTGCCGGTGCAAATCGCAAATGCACCTTCGGCAAGAACAATCAATCCTAATATAACTCAGAATGGAATTAGCCCAGGCTCTAAGAAAATGCAACAGCCATCAGCTTATACATCGTTGAAAAGTACAGTTTATGATAGAGTCAACACTCGTAAAGAAATAACAAATTATAATGAGTATCAAAATAGTCATGTAACGGCAAGTCCCTACACGTCAATGATGAATATTGTGCAAGGTCAGATAAAAATAGCACCACATGGAAATGAAACCAACAGCAACATTGTAGACGTATCGATAATACCTGTATCTCAAAATAAGAAATTGTAAATATTGCTCAAGAAAACATTGTGACTTGGTTTAAATACTTCTATAGCTTGTGTTTATATTCTAATATTCTTCCTTAAATACATTAAAAACAGAAATTAGGCGGCCGGTTTTAAAATTGTTATTTCCAGTTATATTATTACACAAGTTTATTAATATTATTATTAAATAATTTTTCAACTCGCTATATATAAGCAGCCGTTACTACACAATATTAGGCTGATTTATGCTTTAGTAGTAATGAATAACTAGGTTAAAACATATTTTTCAAATTATATTTTATACGAATAATTTAGCTTTAGATTTAAAGACATTATAAACATATGTTGCTATATCAAAAAATAGAATATTTATTTTATACCTTATATTTTTGGACTTTTCTCAAAATATACCAATGTTTATCCTTAAAAATGTACTTTTTGTTGTCTTATTCTTCTTATACTTCTATTCTATACTTCGAAACAGGAAACTATATTCCCAAAATTGATCCTAAGATTCGAATGACTTGAAAGTAATATTAAATACTCACGTCTGCAATTTAATGAATATTTAACAATCAAAATATTCAGTCAACGCTAAAAGAAGTTTGTAAGTCATTTGAATATTTCTTGTAGTTTTGTATTTATCATAAATATCTGTGAATCAGAGGTAGAATCAAGTCCTATTTGTATAATAAATTATAGAAAAATTATTTCTTTAGAGTTATATTAGCTTATCAAAAATAGATAAAAGGTTTTCAAAAAAACAGAGCCGAACTTCAGGTAAAAAAGCAATCAAGTGGCGATCAGGGGAGTGACCCCTTAAGTCTTAAGCACAACAGGCGCCCGGCCGCAAGCAGTTCCATTACCAACTATACAGCTGACCTCATATTTAAATTTGCGTTCATTGTTTTGTAAAAATATAAATTTTTATTAAAGATTTAAATATGTTTATAAAAATTTCAAGATTTATATAGAAGATCCGGGGGTCCGGGCAATGCACCCGGACCCCCGGAGTAAAAATCGGGCCCGAAACCGTCTAAATATTTCTCTATAACTCAGGCCATGGCTAAAAAAGTTTTATTTTTATTTATTAATATCTTTACATTCATAATGTTGTTGTTTTATTATTTACATATTAAATTGATATATAGATAGCTTAAATCGTGAACAACGTATGATCAACGAGAATAAATAGGTCAAACAAAAATGTTTAAGTTAACAAATTATTTAAGTTTTTATTGTACTCTCACAACGCTTATACGTCTATGTTTTATTTATAAAAGAAAGTACGACGCTACGCTAGAGCGCTGGTGCAATTTTGGTGATATACGTAGTTATTATCATACTAGTGGTACATATTCTTTTTTGTATATAATCAAAATGTACCTGATTATCAAAAGGTATAGAACAAGCATTTTTTTCTTATAATGCTATCTAAACCTATGAGTTTGTTGTCATTTCATTACTAACCCTGTATATATGTCGGGAACAATAAAAAAGAAAACTTTTTTTGTGAATTAAATGCAAGCACACAATTTTATTACACTCACAAATAGCCTTCATTTGGCAGTCGTCAGACTATAAAAAAGTTACAAATTTTTCCATTCGATTTTAAACCTCAATACATTGAGAGTACAGAAATACGCGAAATTTGCAGATAAGCCAGTATTAAGTAAAAGTAAGATTAAATATTTTTTGAATTTATATTACATTAATTAAACAATAATACATAATAGTGTAATTTTAAAAGTGTAATTTTATCCAATAATACTTATACTCATATCTGCCTATTTGAAATGCTGCAATGACCTAAAAAAAATTTTCTTTACTCTATGTGCTAGTGGCGTCAACTACGGCAAGCTTAGCGTAATATTCTATATTTGAGCCCCTTTGATCCTTTGACTGAATGTTAAAATTGAATACAAGAACATCACTTAATACCATAGACAGTACTGCTTAAGGTACATACATACATTTTTGTCGGCAAGTGGTTTGGTTTACACCATAAAGAAATAAAATATTCTGAGTTTCTAACCGAAGTTTGCTACTGGTTTTATTTATATTATTACTTATCTCGATGTGTAGATTGTATTTTAGAAAAAATTGTTCTCGAAAGCTAATTAAATGTCACTAGCGATTTTCGAATAATCAAATAATTTATTTGCAGAATACAAGCTTACAAATCTTGAAATGTCAACAAAATTGTGTTTCAGTGTTATATGCCATTTTCAATGGCGTGTAAATGTTAATATAATAGTTAATACATTCTAATTAAATAACTTATTAGATCATGACATGTTTCATAATAAATTCATCAAGTGTTATACAACAATAATTAATTTACAATACAATATTCAAATGTCATACAAATAAAATAAAATTAAAAAAATATAATAATCTAAAGTATAGTAAAAGGAATGATGTTTATATGTCAACAACTGTTTTGTAAAATCGCCCTAAATCGGACAACGTGGTCGCCCTAAATCGTTTCATTTGGCCACCTATCCTATTACCGGCCTTTACGATCATCGCCACTACACCGTCAAGCTTTCACTTATTGATATAGCAGGAATATTTTTGATGATTTTATTTAGGTAAAATAATGTTCCGTTCCGGATCGGAACTGAATGTGGAGTGAAATTCGAATGGAATAAAAACCGGTTTATTCGCTTGGTTCGTAAAAAGCAATGTTCTTACGCTTTTAATGCGAATCATATCATTTATAAGTGACGACATTTATCATACCTGTGTACGGATGTTATAGATAGGAGTAAAGGCACTTAAAAACTGCGCTGAAGATCATTGTTTGGTGTCATATTTAAACCGGTTAATGAAGAAAACCGTATTTCTAGTGAACCAGTTTAAAAACCTGTTCAAAGGAGCTGAACCTTTATGTAAAGTTGTGCATGTACTTACGTCGAACCGGTTCAAAAAATTAACCGGTTTCCAAGCCCTGAATATTAGTATACCCGTGTTTAAGTATGATACTCACAATGAGGGAGTGTTTTAAAAAAAATAAAACAAAATTTTATGTCACTAGATGGCAGCACAAATTGTGAATCAAATCCATGAAAAGTATTTAAAAAAATAAAAAAAAACTACAAAATTTTATGTCACTACTTCTTCTTTTATTAATGGCTTATCTGCGCATTTCGCACAATTCTGCCAATGTCAAGTGAATAAATTTCTACATATAAAATCTTATGAAATTCTTCTTATGAAAATGAAATGAATGAAAGATGGCGATGATGTCAAACATGATGAGAAACCTGTTATGTCACTAATTATTATAGAATCTAAATTTCAATTCATGACGTTCATAGAGAAAGCAGAATTGTTAGTGTTGTTATGGATCTGATAATTCGGATTTATATCGAGTTGAAATTCAATTAATCGAGTTACGCAAATGCAACTTGAGTAATACGAACGAATCTTTGAATAAATTTATTTTTATTTGTATAAAGGAAAATGGAAACCAAATTAATGGAAGTGAGCATAGAGAAGGTTTTTTAAAAGTTATGGAAATCAATAGAATAATTGCTATGAAATTATTAAAGGTGGCATCTAAAGGATAAAATAATATTACCGTGAAATTGTTTTTATAAATAAAATACTTACGCTATAGCAGGTCTAGGCATTTTTCATTATAATATTTAACAAAAGTTCTGAAAGCAATAAAAAATACGTAACTTAGTTTTGATGCTATTAGTTGTTAGTTGAATTTACGGCATCAAAACTACATCAAATCTTTAGGAACCTAGTGGCTGAATGTTTGGTCTCTACTGTGGTGATGGAGACAACTGGCCGAGAGACTAAAAGATAATTGTCTTCCTCCGAGCTAAGTGTTGTTAGCCCGGGGCCCGCGATCCAACCGATGTAGGTTGGACGTTCTATTTATGCTAATTAGTAATGAAACTTATTCTGTGCGATGTAGGTTTCTTTGTTCTAAATGCCTTGTAGTTATTAATTTATGCTGCTTGTATTGGTACAGCGCCATCTCGTTACTTGCTGTTGAAACTTATTGCAGTTCGTCTTGCTATCGATGGCTGTGACGATGCTAGTCTTCTCGCTATCGATTGTTGTGAGGATGTTACTGCGATGAATTAGATGTCGCTATGTATCAGTCGCCACAAATCTCAATAATGTTTTTATATTATGTGTGGTGAATGAATGAATAGGCTTTATTAATCAGCAACAAAATTATAAAAAACTATAATTATAATAAAAAATCCGTTTGTTATCTATATACTTACCCGATATGTATCAATAATACTAGATATTCGTTCAAAATAACATGACGTCTTGTTAGAATGACGTGTGTACAAAGTACAACGTGCAAATAAATTTTCTTTCGAAATTAAGATTTTGTTTTAAACTAATATCAGTTATTAAATTTTACATTCACAATGAGGAAGTATTAAAAAAAAAAACGAAAGAACTAAAGAAGCACCTCCACTAGATGGCAACTCTAGCAAAAGTTGATTTTTGCAGGAAACGAATGGACCAAAGTCAGTCTTTGCTTGTGCATGGTATTCTGGTATCAATAAAGAAGTTGGCAGAAAACTCTAGTTCGCTATATCCTATAACTATATTCAGAGAAAATTCTACTCTCAAATAAATAGATTGAGATTTGCACATTGCCGATTTAAAGATCATTTACACCATATGCACCACGTGCTTATGCAGATAACATCTCCAGTATACACGGAATGTTCAACTTAAGAAAACTAGACACTTGAACACATATTTTTTTCATGCCCAACCTACAATATACAGCGATTCTTTCTGATTCATTACCTCCTGGAAAGACAAAAGACTATCTTGTCTTGTCTTCTATTCAGGATATTTTAGTTGACCCAGAAAACTTCGTATCGATTTATGACTATGTTAGCTCCGCTCTTGGAGAAATCTTATTTGACCTACCCGGATATGTAAAATAAGAACCCTGGACAAGACAAAGAAATTTGCTTTCAGCCTTTTTTTTTTAAAAAACACGACCATACCTTTTTAAAAAAGAAGACAAGAGGAAAAGATTATGCTTTGTTTTACATAATAATTAAGAATAATATATATAAAATAATATATATAATTAAGAATATAATGGCTTAGTTCCTTTGCCTGTCACATTGACGAAACAACTACTACTCTATAATAGACAGCTGAACTTGACATACTGGGTGTCAAAAAAAACTAAACCGTTTATCGGCGCCGCGCGTTTAATGTATTCGTTTCATATTATAATGAATTATGAATTTATGTTTTAGTTCTACACACTATTAGTTTCATTAATGTAGAATATATAATATAACTGAATATAAATAATCATCACTGTGTTTGCTGTGTACAGTCAAAGTGAAAAATGTTTTTACGTATTCTAACCTATTAAATCCTGGTTACGGCTAATAGTTTAACTAAATACAAATAAAATTGAAGTACCAAAATATAAAATTTAGCAAGCATTATGCAGAAATTACAAGAGAGTGTTTTTTCTATTGTTAAAACAACAAATTTATCTCCAGCAGTGTTTAGTTTTTTACAACCGTCAGAAGATTCATCAGGTTTGTTACCAAACAGTTACTTTATCATATATTTTATTTATTCACTTACTTCCCTAAATATGGCAATAAAAACTTTTCTGTTTACTTTTATATAATTATAGACATAAACATGCAAACTTCATTTAACTATTTTTTCAGTATCTGTTTTTATTAATACTTTGTTGCAAGATTTTTTTTTAGTGTTTTCTTACTAATGGTACTTCCTATTATTTTTTTATGCATACATTGGTAATATATTAATAATAATTTCTTTGAACTATTTAATGTTATTTCTCTTAGATAAAACTCCATTGGGTGGTATACTAAATGATGCTCGTCATGGATGGCTTGCTTTGGGGCACAAATTCTGCATAGTGGACTTGAAATCTGGTCTTAAAGTTGCAGCTAAAACATTTGGAGCTCCATACAGGTATTATTTGTCAAAAATATTTACAGTGTCACCTTTAATTATCTCATATATTTTGAATTTTATTTAATAAAAATGTGTGTTTCAGCAATTCTCGGATAACAGTCACCAGTGTTATTGAGCTGCCTATACCTTTAACAGATAACTCAAAACAACTTATCATTAGTCTATGTGAAGATCAAACCAGTATCATTTGTATTTTTCACATAAATGGCTCTCAAATGTTACGATGCATACAAACTGATTCAGTAGTCACAGAACTTGCTGTATGCGATGAAATGCCTGATGGGCCCTTAACTAGTTTTGATGGGATTGTTATGGCTGGTACTAGAAGTGGAGAGATCTTTGCTTTTGATCTCAATAGAGCTGGTCTTATTCAAGGCAAGTTTTCTGTACTTTATATTATTGTTTTACTTATAAATCAGTAACATATATGTAGTTGCCAGAGCAACCATGAATTGTGAATATATTTGATGATTCTCTTGTTTACAGCTTTAAAAGATATTTCTCAAGGATATGAACACCTTATTCAGAATGAGAATAATCCAGCGAATCTTACCTTCTTGCCGTTGAATGCTATCCAATATATTGAAGAGCAAAGAGATCTTGCGTTAGAAAACTGTAATCATTTAGCTCTTTTACTCAATGAGACTTCTTTAATGGATAGAGAGTATTTGTTCTGTAACCCAGATGGGACAGTTCACATGAAAGCTAAGAGGGATCAGGTTAGAGTCACAGTACTGCAGTACATACCACAGTTGGGCAGTTTGGCAGTCGGTTACAATTTTGGTGCATTTCAAATTTGGAATATATTGAGTTTAGAATTGGAGTTTACTTCACAAGTTAATGTTGAATGTGTACCTGTTACACATTTTGGTTTTCAGGTATGGTGTTCCATTTTATACATATATAAATAAGCTTTGTTGTAATAGTCCTTATTAATTCTTTTATTGTTTATCAGTATCAAAGTTTATAGCTGCCCTACTAATCCAGAAAAATCCACTAACCAAAAACATCAATAAATTAATCTTACTAATATTATAAATATGAAAGTTTGTGAGTTAAAAAACAAAAAAATAAAAACATGTCTGATAGAAATTCATGTTTGTTTATAACAATTATTGACTCAAATAAATAGTCTCTAGCTTATTTTACATTCAAAATGGCAGAATGATAGGTTTCACATAAAGTTATTGTAACTCCTTATATATTTTCTGTTATTGCAGGAGCCATGTGATGATCCTAGGGCTTTTTGTTACCTATGGGTAGTGTACTCTGCTTTGGAGAGGTTTGAAGAAGAAGAATTTCCATTGGCTGTTATGTATTCCCTCACTTATCATGGCAAGAGGATGCTGTCAGACACCAAGTGTCTTTATCAAGTAACCATTATTTATTGTGTATTCTTTAATGCATTTCTTAATTACATTTTCTTTGGTTCTTTGGTATGGTTTGTCCTTGATTCTTATTTATTGTGTAAATATAAAGAATATAGTAACATTACATATATTCTTAAAATTTTAAACAAAATAGCTTTCATTATGAAGTCAAAAACTATGAAGTTACCACTAAAACCAAAGTGGAGACAATAAGATCTAAGTGTGCATGAGTTAAATTTGTTTTTTTAACATTACATTAAAAATTTTTTGTACACATCATAGGAATTTTCAATGGCCTCGATAAGATTCCAAGTGGAATTGACAGCAATGGAAGACACCAGACATTTAATAGGTGGCAAATGTGTCTCTTGTCATACTTATTCCATCAATTCTACATTGGGATCCGAAGGAGAAGAAAGTAAGAAACTATTAATTGCTATCATCAATTTACGTACTCAGATGCATTTGTCAGTCCCATTGTATGTAAAATTATAGTCTATATCAACCGCATATGATGTACCTTCCCATAGGTGTAAGAATTTTGAATATTGATCCAGTAGTTTTGGAGGCTAATGAATGCAAATGAATTGGTATAGATTATTATCTAATTATTTTCCTAGTAAACAAAATTATTTTTTAAATTTGATATTAATTTCTCCATATTTAATTCTAAGGTCTTTTTACTGTTAGTATTACAAATTTATGTTAGGAAATATATATTTTTTGTCTTATGTACTGTCAACAGCATGTTTTGAATACAAAATACTATTATATTCATTAAAAACCTTAATCCATTGATAGTAAAGTTCTTGAACAAAGTTTTCTATAGGATCTTTTTGTTGTTCTTATTTCTAATTTTGCCGTTATTAGTTTTTGGCAAAAAGCAAGCTTTAAAGTTTGTGTTTTAGGATGTTATGCTTAAAATATAATGCATAAATATAATAAGACAAACAAAACTGTGCCATGTTATATAATGCCTTAAAATCTTATTCAGATAGATGGGGAACTTAACAAAATATATTGCAAGAGTTAGTCCTTTTGTAATAACTCAATGTGCTGCTCTCTGTACTAAGTTGACTTTACTGCTACGTTATGATTATTACAGGTATGTTAAACATTTGCCAGCTGGTTTGGGAGTGTTGGGGAGAGACCACAAACTCTTCACAATATGGAATGCTTCTGTTTGATCTTGATCAATGGTATAAGGACCAAATGCCAGGTATTATTTTTAATTACCTACATACAGGAACATTTGAGCAGTACATTAACATTTAGTTTTTAATGAAAGCAAAATTTTATTAATTAGTATCAGTCATAAAACATGCATTGATTTGAGCTAACTTGTCCTGCAGGGTTGTTGGTTTTACAAATAAAACTATATCATTATATGGTGACCATAAAAAAACCACCATAATCTTATTAGAATATGATAGTCTTTTTATGGTTTCCATAGCCAAAAGGGTAAATTTTGATCCTATTATTAAGACTGCTGTCCATTGTCTAACTATCACAGAGCAGTATCTTATGATCTGTGATAGTTAGACATCTGAAATTCTCTGAAATGATACATCATCACTGTTGCTGTTATAGCAAGAAATACTAAAAAAACAGATTGAAACGAATATCTAAGGGGGTGTTTTGACAAATTAACGATGAATGTGAGCTGTTAGTTGCCTTTAATAAAAGGATCAAAATAGCAGTGATAATAATGATGTGTAATAACACATCATTATTATCACTGCTATTTTGATTCTTTTATTATTATTTTTAATGATAAATATCATATTTTAATATTTATTATCCTATTTCTGATGAAGACAAATCACAAAAACACAAAAATCATATAAATTGGTCCATCCATACACAAGTTATAAATGGTGTAACTAACACGACTTCCTTTTGTGTACAACGCAGACTTCAAGCCAAAAGGGCCTCTAAGCAATAAACCTTAATTTTCAGGAGACATAAAAATAACTATATGACAGTCATATATCGAAAACCGTCTCACTTATATCTTTCTTTAAAAAAAAAGATTTTGTTACTTATTATATATACTTTTTGTCCACGTTAGAAACGTACCGTCTGCAAAACAATCCGTTCATGTCGGCGACGTGGTGCACGGAGTTGACGGGCGCGTGCCTGTTGGACGCGCACATGTCTCCGTCGTCGGTGGCCGCGTATACTCACTGCACTCGGCTGGAGGAACACTTCTATCCTAACTCGCTACAATACCGTGAGTGCTTATAAAAATTCATTATACTATGGTTATTCAATCGTTATACCAAGAATAGTTATACTCGGTATATGCTCATAATAACGGAAGAATATCTTTTGACTTATAAACTTGGTATATCATCGGCGTAAGTATTCCACCCTTATGTTCGATGCACGTGGCGGCAACGCCGCATTTCATAGACAAAATCGAAAGAACGAAAGTATTTTGTCCGTGATTCGGTTGAAGTGACAAATGTTACTGAGTTTGACGTTTGGTTGATTGGCGTTACATGTGGTTATTCCTCGAACAATACGCGGGTGATTTTGTGGAAGTTATTGTAAATTATTAAGTTAAATATAAACTAATATCATAATGGCAAGTAAAAGTAGTATCTCAACGCTATCAGTATCTGCAATATACCTCACTGCCAAATAAACGTTCTAAAAATAAGACGCCGTCTTTGGAAAAACGATATTTTATACGAAATTCGTCGTCATTGTACAAAAAGAAGTGATCGTTTCTAGTTCAAAATATTTTAGATTTTCTTCTCGTCCTAAACATTTGCGATCGATTGATCAAATTATTAATTTCTTCCACTTCTTGTATTGTCTAAACGCCATATTTCAATAAACACATGTTTCAATATTATTAAAAATTATCTAATACGGTAAATATTTGGTAAATATCAATAAAGCATCAACAATATCAAAATGTCATTTGACAAATGCGTTGCTACACCAGAGTTATACTAGGGTGACGGGCGGAATATCGGTGGAATAAGTTTTGTTAGAACGTTACATCTAGGTTATGCTAAGCATAAGTTACACCGAGTTTATAAGTTGACATTTTGCGTATTCTGCACTAATTCTCGGTATAACATTTTATACCACGTTTATAAGTAGCGCTGTAAATGTCAATGTCTTTAATTCGAGTGCAACCAGTACTCGTGTTTATTGAAATGTGACGTCACGGCACGAAATGTCACGTGACTGATGGATTTTGCGAGACTTTAAATTTTGGGAAATTAAATTAATTAATAAAAATATCTTTTTCCTTTTTTTAGCAAAATTTTTTGAAGCAAAGTAAATCTGATAGTTATTTAATATGATAATATTAAAATTTTGAAAACACTTCCCGTAACAGTCGTGTAGCCACATACATATTATATTTCCATTGAGCTTATAATGACACAAAATATTATATGTATTGTATATCAATAGATTTTTGTATCATTTCTGCGTAGTACTGCGTTTTGTATGGAAAGCTATAGATCACTGACCCCAATCCAGGGGCAAGCAGTATTATGCAGTAACAATGCAGAGAAATTACATCTAGTGTTAAATGCCGTTTAATACGTTAACCCACCAATCCGCATCAGGCCTGTGGTAGGTCATGGCCTATCCTCACTATTTGAATCCATAGGGAAGTCCTATTGTTTGTTGTCATATCTATACAATTAGAATTGATAATGCAGATATGTCGGAATCATCTAATTAGTAAAGATTGTTTTAATGTGATTTATTAGCTAACAGTAGGGTGTAGTTTTCTCTGATTGCTTCTTGTTTGATATTTTTTTATGCAAATAAGTTTATAAGTATTTATATGCGAAAACTGTTTAACTGTGTACATTTATACTATACTGACTATTTTCCTGCGAAATCGCACGCGTAAATTGTAGCCTATGTCAACCCCGTATGATGTAGCTATCCATAGGTGAAAGAATTTTTAAAATCGGTAGTAGTTTCGGAGCCTTTTCCTCTTTATAATATTAGTATAGAGTTGCCAGTACTCTAGTTATATTGATACTTTCTGTTATCCAAAGAAAATAAAATGAAAAATAAATACAATATGTAATAACAGAGTGTATATGCCTGACGACGTCGGAGTCCTGCGTGTTGGGTACGGTGGGGATCCAGCGTCAGATAATCAGCTCCCTAGACTCGACCGGTCCCACCGCGTTACTGAACCCCACCAGGCTTTACCGCGCCTGTCTAGCGGCGGGACTCACGCCTCTATACACTTACCACCAAGGCCGGGACCCCACGCAGGTTAGTTCATCTTTTTTCTATCCATTTTTATGTCACTAACCACAAAAAAACCGAAAAGTTAAGTAATAAGTCTTGGGACCCTGTCACTATAAAATTATATACACTAAAATTCACTCCTTTTATAAGCGAACCTATATGGAGTTTGAATTTATTATTTTTTCAACATACTGCGATCCCTTTAAAAACAATCTCGATACCCTGTGGGTCGCGACCCCCTCGATTGAGAAACGATGGGTTAGTGTGTCCACGGAATAAGTACAGACGTATACATGTATCAATAAAAGCTATTAATTTACATTACACAAATATTCATTTAAATTATAGAACCACTCCCTTAATCTCCTTATAAACACATTTTCATTAAGACTATTTAAGCTTAGGGGTAGTTTGTTAATTATAAATGCTTTTGTTAAGTATATAATTAGAGGAAGAAATAGTATATCATACTTATATTGCGATCGAATGTCAGCTTTAGTTATATGCTTTTCAATAATAAATACTATGATTTTTAACAAAAACACAAATTTCTAATATATAGGTATTATATAAATGAACTATGCCATAATGGAAAAGTAACATTCGACCTGAATGTAAAGTGGCACTGGAACATTCCAGGAGGAGCAGCGCAGATTCCTGCTGTCAGTGGCGCTGGAGGGGCGGCTGTCGCGGCTGCTCAAGTGCTGCGCCCACGACTGGGCCACGGGGACGCACGCCGGCGCTGGCTGTACATTACCATTCCTGGTATGATGTTATATCCCCTACCTTACAGGGTCCTCGCTCGGATTTTATTTCATTGCATCACCTTCACGCTTACTCTCGAACGCAATCGTGACTGATCCACATTGCAATCTTACCGTTTCCTTCTCTCTATTGGGTACACTGGAGTATGCTGGTGAATCAATAAACGGAACGATACTGAATGGAGATAATACCTGGTAAAAAAAAACTATTTAGTCGAACAGTCAGATAACAGCCCTATGATTCTGTAAAAATCTTTTTTTACCGAATCTCAGGGCAGCTCATGCTTCAATTGGTAATAACGTTTCGTAGCATAGGTGAAATGAGTTTCGAAATGACATAGGAATAGAATATCTGAGACACGTATAATTGATCAATTTTAATTTGTATTTTTATACAAAAAATAGAATCAATAGAATTTCTTCACTAAATGACGTGAATTCAAATTCGGGTCTGGATTTTTAGAGAGTCGCAGGGCTGTTTTTTATTATATAAATCTGCTGTAGAGTTTCCTGTTCTTTTTTTTGTGATAACGCAGGGGGTATGCAAACATCCTGCCCTGAAAAGGGCAGGTCGAGTGTGGTTGGGCTATCTGGTAAAACTCAACTTATGCGAATTTATGAATCCGGTATCTTGCAAGGTTGGCCCGGTAGTGTCACGAATCTGTTGTAGTGTCGCCTGCTCTGGTGCCTTTTTTAGAATCTGCTGTTGGGTTACCTGTCTTGTTTCTGTTCTGGAATCTGCTGTAGGGCCGTCCGCTGTTCTGGTTCGTGTTGTTGGTTTTAGAATCTGTTGTAGAATCGCATGTCCTGGTTGTATCGCATCTTTCAATTCCTGTCTCTCCTTAGATGTTTGCCTGTTCAGTATATTATATTAGACTAGCTGACCCGGTGAACTTCGTATCACTTACCTCTTAATAAAAACCATATAATAGGGTTATAATTATAAATAGGGTTTAAATTAATAATATTTTCGTGCACTTATAACTATGATGGCGACAGCTTGTATTTTTTTCACGTACTATCAAGACGAACCATAGATTGAAAAATATTGCGTAAACTGACCACTACACGACCATAAATATTGATCGTCAACTGAACGTTTGACAGCTAAGAACAGTTTGTATGGGAAAATTAAATTGTCGTTTTTAGTATTATACTCGCAATTTTGTTATATTTTCTCATCGTTTAAACCTTCCCAGGTCTTCCACGAATATTTCAAGTCTAAAATTTGTCAAATCGGCCCTTCAAATCAAATCAAATCAATATCAGCCCTTCTCGAGTTTTAGCGAAACTAACGAACGGAAATTGATTTTTATTTATATAGATGCCACTGGGGTATCCTCGGCCCAGAGTCTTATCTTAGGTTTCGTTGCAACTTCATATATCCTAATAATTTTTATGGAATTTTCAAAGAAATTCATCAGTTAATAAATAAAAGAAACATAAAATTCATAATATATAATAAATATATGCTTCGTAGGTGGATTGGTGTTGGCAACGCGCTGTAGAGCTGAAGGAAAATGCTAAAGAACTTACTGCACCATTGTTTTCGTCTGCTGCTTTACCTGACAGGTGAGAATTCATTTATACCTGTTGTAATATTATTCAAGCAAAGGTACAATTATTCTTACACTTACGTCATTGTGATTTTTTTTTACAGAAATGTAGTGAGATGCTTGGAACATTGTGTTCAGCAGTTGACTCAGCTCACTGGTCTTCTGGATGCTATACTCACTAAATGCTGCAACCTGGTAGTTCCTGATGGTGAGTGTTGTATAATTTTTCCAGGGCCCGGAAACCGGATTATTTTTTGAACCGATTTTAAACAAGTTCATTACAAATACGGATTATTCAGTAACCGGTTTATATATTACGACACGTAGCCTGTATATCCATATCCATAACATCCCTGGTATATACAGTAGTCTTAAATTATATAAAATCAGGTATAAAAAAATAATAATATATTCGCATGGTACGAGCGGCACATTCACACTCGTTTTACGAGTCTTGATCGAACATTTCTCTTTACTGGTTTAACCGGTTTTTGTTATCCGTATTCTGTGCTTCTTTGAATGAATGGACGAACGGAATATTACAATGGAACAGAATTTGCCTAAATAAAAACTCTGAATCTGTTTTAAGACCTCCATATTTCGGCAAATGATCAGAGTTAAAAGTAAAAGAAGTACACATGAAACTAGAATTTGTTTTACTTTAATTGTATATGTTACGTTGCTTATAGCTCTGAGTGAAATGGAAGAAAAGTACAAGGGCATCGGCACGGTATCCCTGTATTTCCAAGTAGTTCAGTGGTTTCTGCGTGTGGGCCTGTTGCCTGAGAGGTATGACGGGTTCGATGCCGCGCCATATCCCGCTGAACAGCTCTACGCCATTTATAACAAGAGGTACTGGCACTGTAATTTTTTTTTTACTTTGGTCCTCCCTCTTTATAGCAGATCCTTTTCACATATCTTTTGATTATATATATTTTCTTATTTTATACATTTATGCATTACTTTACATTCGTAATTAATTTACTTTATACACTACTATTCGGATTACACTGTAATATTATACGCATAAAGGTATCTTTTGTTTGTTACTGTAGACACACCACACAGAATTAACTTAGTCTGCTTTGACACTTCATACATTATATTTTACTAATGAAAAATTAAAAGTTTTATTTTGAATCAACATTTTGTTCTTTTTATTTTTGTAATATTAATCATAACTCATAACGTCACAAATCAACTACCGCTTAATCGCTAGTACAAGTGTCATTGGCGTTTGTTTCTTTACAATATTTATGACGTCATATCATGGCCGACAGCGTTTTCGATGTTTCAATAAAAACAAAACAAAACCTTATTATATAATATATGAAAATATGAGTCAAGTAGAATGTTGGACTTAACATATGGGTTTTATATTGAGAACTTTAACGTGACTTTTATTTGATTTCAGGAGACTTAAACTTCAGAGGTTACAAGACAATTCACCAATAGACGATCCACCCACTAAACCTTGTTCGCTTCTTTACATTGATCAATTGATAGAAAATGAATTTGGTGGGGAGAAGATTCATCAGTGAGTGATTTTTCTTTTGTCAATGTTGTTTTGTAGGACCAAAATGTTTTAAAGGTATTTCTAAAAAATAATGCTACTTCTTGATGCGTTACTAAAATGTAAAGTAATAAACTCGTTTTATCTCATGATGTCTATGAAAAATTTCAACAAGGAGAATAGGCCTAAACCTACCACTCGGCTTTACTGCGAATTAGTAGATGTTAACGTCTGCAGATGCAGCAATGCCCTAACGTGCCTTCCGAAGCACGGAGGAGCTCGACATAATAAATTTTTGGTCACCCATCCTATGACCGGCCATCGCAAAAGTTCCTTGCATCGAAAATCAGCTATCGAGTTGTTCTACTCGACATATACTTGAAAAAATTGTTTTAAGTCTTATGGTACATATTAAGTATATGTTTTCGGTATAGGATGTGGATTAGAGGCGGCAGCAAATGTAACGGACTGTACCCTCCCCCGTCACTGTACTCTTTGCTGCGACTGTACCTCTTGCCGGATATCGCAGAGGAACATAAACACTCACTAGTTCTGTACTTACTGGTCGACTACTCTGTGTTATACGACCAAGTGCGGTGAGTAATCAAATTAATAATTTATTTATCTATTCTATATATTCCATTGATATATTTATAGACCGTGTCAGACAGCTGTATGTTAACAGAAACTATATTCGAATAAAAAAGAGAGGATTACAGTACCCCGTCTCTCTCTATCTCTATCTATCTATCTATCTCTTCAGACGTATTTTCAGTAAAAGATAACTATAAACTAACCGTCGAATAGTTCTGCTATGATCGTTCACAACGCTAACTACGCATTTGCGAGTATATTGAGACAGACATACGGTGTCGTGGTCTTTTACCTGTTTATAATCGAGGCTCAACTGAAGGCGTGGCTCTTGTTCTATTTATACACGTATCATCTATATGATATTTAAGGTTTTTGACGGGGTAGCTAGAAGGGAACTGCGCATCACGAGTCATGGTTCTAACATATATCTACCGCTCCGTCGACATTCATATCTCTTCTCATACACGTTCACTAATTTCTATGGCTTCAAATAACCATATAAATTAAATAAGGATTTGATAGATGTATCTGTGCAATAGAAAATATAGTTTCATTTTCTTTCACCCACATAAAATTGTATTGTCTCGCAGATATGAAGCTGTGATTCGTCGACTGATGCAATTCCCCACAATGTTTGGGCTCAGCAACACTGCTATTAAAGCTACACAGGCATTCTGGCACCTTGATCACAGGGATTTCGATGTAAGAATTTTTACATAGACATTGAAATTTTAATCCGTGAATGAAAGACTCAAGTCATGCAATATAGAAAGATCTTTAATTATTTTTTAATTATTAGAAGCCCCAGTATGTACGACGCACGGAAAAAACGAAAGAAAATAATAATAAAATGAAAATCACGGATCATTATTGTTCATTAATTAATATGACACCTGAATGCCTGAGGGCTTATAATTTTTGGGAAATTTAGACTTATCCTTTGTTATTAATAATCCTAATTTATTCTTAATGAAAAATGCTTAAAAATCCACTTTGTCCCTGGCACTCTGAGATAGGATTCGAACCAATGACCTTTCGCAATCTGGGCGACTGCTCTTACCACTGAGCTAAACAGGATCGACGAATTTTTCAAGCACTTTTTACTTTTTCGCTACTACAGAGCGTCTTCTCATCAATGTTCAGGCAATCCACCCGAACAGCCAAAGGAAATATTTTTACAAATATTTAAACTTTCGATAAAGATGAAAATTTGTTCTAATTATGTTTGATCAATTTTTCAGTGTTGCATTGTACCTAAATGCAGAAATTATCAAATATAATAAACCTTATTTAGTTTGTTAATTTAGTTTTTTTTTATGTAAATCGTTTCCTCATAAATTATCGAATAACGTGTCTCTTTGGAGTCATATCATTTCTTTTACGGAGTAATATAATAGGCTTTCGAGTGTCATGTAAATTCGTACTATAATACTTATTTATCGTGTTAGATAAATAAATTACTCAATAGTATAATTGTTCCGACTTTTAAATATATTTATTTATTTAAGAACAACCAACAAAACATACACCGCAATCGTATAACAGTAAAGCTTACATCAGTAACTTGCAATAGTGCTGCTTTAATTACAGGTTGTTACAACATGTACCTATAGCAAGTAAACAAAGTAAACATAACCATTAGATGATGTTTAGTACAGAAGCTATTTAATTATGAAATTTAATTTATGAAGTGTATTGTGTTTTTCTAGTTCGCATTAGATCAACTGCAATGTTTAACTGGCAACACACTATCGGAATGGCAACACAACGTAGTGCTATCTTCGCTGTTGGCTCAGAGGAAGACTCAAGCTGCCCTCCAATACTTGCACGTTAGGAAACCAGCCCCGATTCAGATTAAGGAGGAGAACTCCATAAACAAAATAAACGATCACGATAAGCTGGACGATTGGCAATCGTGCTGCAGTTTATATTTAGCCAGGGGTCTGTTATTCGAAGCTCTGGACGTGGTCAGAATGTGTGTCCATAACGCTGGCAGTTTGGATGATAAAGTTCAAGTGCTCAATTTCTTCTTCAAAGGTTTGTAATTATTTTGTTAAAATAACGTATTACTGTCGCCAGATTGCAGCACTAGCACATGAAGTAAACAGCTTTTTAGGGTTCCGTACCCGAAAGGTGAAACGGAAACTCTATTTATTACTAAGATTTCGCTGTCTGTCTGTCACCAGGCTGTATCTCATGAACCATGAAAGGTTAGATAGTTTAAATTTTCACAGATTATGTATTTCTGTTGCCGCTTCAACTAAAAACCAGAAATAAATAAATATTTAACGGGGCTCCTATACAACAAACGTAATTTTTTGTTCTTTTCATTTCTTAAGGTTCTTTGTCAATGTACTTAATTATTATGATATGAATAGAACCTAAAAAGCAGAACATAAAACAGCTTTGTTACGAGTTTAAAGGTGCTTATTTCCGTAGGTTGCCGTAATTCCGGGCAGTTGTCGAAGATTTTACAAGTGACGCTTTTGCCTTTGGAAGAAGAGGTGTTCATAAAATATTTAAAGAACTGTAATGAATCCCAGACTTCTGATATTCTCGTCATGTACTATTTGCAACAAGCTAGGTATTGTTTTTTTTTATGTAAATTAACATTTATATTTGGTGACCATAATTTATATTCAATTTTGTTTATGTAACTGTCAGTTGTTAAATATAGTTAGCAACATAATATTAAATAAGTAACTCAAGAATTTCTTGGGCTGACAACTCTATTTTCTAGTGGCGCCGCCAAAACGAGCAATAAATTATAAAATATAATTTACATCAAAGCTGTATTTTTTGGACTTAAGCGCCTTCCTAAGCCCTCTAAACAAAGGGTTTCGCCACATATGATCCTTCGAGCCGGATTTTATGACCTTAGATATCCGGTTCAAAGGATCATACGTGACATACGCTGCATATGTGAACAAAAAAACTAAATGCAGCTTTGTTTAGATTATTCGTGTATTTAAAAAAAACTAAAATATAATTGTTTTATATTTTTGGTAGAGCAACGCATTAAAACTCAATTGATTTTAGATATATAGAAGCTGAACAGTATAACAACAAGATTCGTCATAGTAGAGTCAGAGGCAAAGAACCCTCGGGATCTGTAGAGTCGTTAGCTGATGTGTTGGACAGAGAAAACATTAGAGATACTATAGTGGAAGTTGCATGCTCGTCGCTGCCGGCCGTCGCTAGATCTGTACGCGATTTTGTACTCTGTGATAAAGACATAGAGCCGCATGGTAAGTCAATTTGTATTTTAATAGCACAAAACTAAGAATATAATGATATATTTGTGTTTAAGAAAAAAATAACCAATGTCTTTTCCCAGGCATAAAACTTATCTTCATACTGAAGTATGGATACAATCGGCCCAACCTAAACGCCAACTCAAATAACCTATAGAAATAAATAAAATTCGAGAATCTGTTTGTAATATTAAAATAACCGCTTTTAACTAAATGCATATGTATGTAAACCCACACGTATACCACTTTGTTTTTCATTTTCTGTCTGTCTGTTTGTTCCGGCTAATCTCTAAAACAACTGAACCTATTTTGACTGAACTTTCAAGAGCAGATAGCTTATATAATTATGAGTAACTTAGGTTACTTTTCACGCGGCCGAAGTCGCGGACACAGCTAGTATAAATAAATTTAGATGTCACATTGCTCAGATTTCATAATAAGTAGCCAAAGTCCTCGTATTATTTAGCGTCTCAGGTACCACAACATCCAGATCTAAGATAATATCGAAAAATCCATTTTCTACTTTGACTCGATCGCGAATCGAATCCGGGACCTCAGAGATGGCGACACCCTGAAACCGGGGTGTGAACCACTCGGCTCCGGAGGTCTTCCAAAATATAAATGTATATTTGTGTTTATTTATTAATTTCAGTAATTGCTCCCAAACCGATGTCTGTGTTTGTCCAAGCAAGATCTCCTAAAAACACTTTCACATACAAATCATCATTTATACAGGTAATACGATTAAATACTTATGTTTCTGTTCCTAGTTTATTCTGTGATATTTTCTTAACAGAATTATAGTTTTTTTATTATGTTAGGATACGATAGAAAACGCAAGTGAGACGTGGATAAATAAACCTAAATTGAAGAGAGGTCTCAAGCGAGCGTTAAATGTTGAAGAAACTCCATTCATCTGTACGCCCAAATTAAATCGGCATAGAAGGTAAGGGCTATTAATTATATTAGATTTTTTAAATTAATTTTAATATTGATAAATAAATTTTACCTTTTAGTTAATTTTTTGCTAATAATAGTAAATAATAGGTAATTTTTTGCTCCATTTTAACAAAAAATAACCAAGATAACATTAAAGTTGAGAAATGACCTCGTTACGTCACATCTTTGTAGAAAATGTACAAAAGTGTGATGTCATGTAACATTTTACCTCAATATGTCGTCGTGATTATGCAAAAAATAAAAAAAATGACAGTGTTTAATATTTTTAAATAATCTACCTGAGACGGACGGACAAAAAATAATAGTCGTCATTACTATTGATGTCTAATGAAAGATACTTTCATATCCAGCATATTAGCTGATCAACTGGCCGATGCGACACCACCAAAACGAGCTAAATTGGACCTTAATTCTACACCGAAAACTCCTAAATTCGGTAGCGCAGTGAAATTGAATGAAACCCTTAGCAAGCAATTATCTATTCTATTGGACATGCCTGAAGTTCAAAGTCCTGAATGTATACAGTATATGGAACGATCCGGCGCTGAAACCCCACACAGTATCCTGAAGGTAAGTGTTTATGGTGCAAATAATTCAAACGTTTGTTTGTGTGTAATATTAAGAAACAGTATTGTATTTCATTTATTACTATCTTTTACAAGACGATCATAGGATGGGTGACCAAAAAAGTATTATTTCGAGGTTCTTCTGTACTTTAGAAGGCACGTTATCCCGTAGGTTCTGACTATATATGCAACCGTTAACGCTTACCAATCCGTATTTGGTCCTCATGGTGTATTATGCTCCATTCTCTGTATTCTGTTTGATTAGTTTCCATTCATAGGGAAGGCTTGGCGTGTGATACAATTATGAAAAATAGCTAATAATATTAAAAAAGTCTTCCTATCTGCTGCAGTGTTTTTGAAAGTTAAAACGCTAGTTTCTAACAGATGCCTCAATTAAATACCTTCTAACTAGAGATGCGCCGAATATGCGTTTGATATTCGGTATTCGGTATCTTTTTCACTATTTGTATTAAGCCGAATATTTTTTTTTTAATATCATCGGAAAACTTACTGCTAGGTAATACTATTTAAGGAATATTTATTAGATCTATAAAGAAGGCCAATTACAAGTTTATAGGTAATTAAATAATAGAAAAAGCAGACGACAGCTAAAAGCAACAAAATTAAAATTATACTAGGTTTACATTTAAAATTAAGCATTACTTTACATTATATTTGATTATTTTATATTTCCCAAATCTTTCATATTATTAACTCTTGTTAGAGATATATTATTAAGCATATAGATATATATTCGGTTTAAGTATTTATATTTTCTTGGCATCACAACACGGTATAGAACCAAGAGATAAATTGTCTTGTGTGAATTTATGTTATATTAAAAGTTAAAAAATCTCATATTTATTTCATACATTTTCAAACTTCAAAATAAGATTTTTATGAATATATTTAGTTGACAAAAATATACACAAAGATATATAGAAGCAGAGAGACACTATAAAAGTATAGTAAAAATCAGACATAAAATAAAAAGATATCCAAAAAGAAACATACATATTCTAATATTTATTATTGGTGAATTATGGTGCAGAAACACTAAGCTCTAGACCCTCTTCAGCAAGTCTGTTGCGTATTTCTTCATATAGGTTCCTTGCTTCCGAAATAATCATTCTCTATACTATCAGGAGCACTGAGAGACACTATGGCTAAATAAAAACAATGAAATGGTAAACCGAATGATTCGACCGAATATCCGGTTAGGTTAAGCTTAAACCGAATATTATTCGGTTATTTGGTGAAAACACTATTCGGCGCATCTTTACTTATAAAAGCTTCCAGATAGCGCTATGTCCACTTTGAGAAATACTACCCTAAATAAAAGAACTAGCAATAGAAATGTCTAAGAAATATTTTTTGTCTTTAATAGAATAAACCTTTTGTCTTTTGGCTCACATTCTGGTGTCTAGATCATTAGCTTCTTAACTTGACTTTGAGGCATCTTGTTTAATGTGTATTTCATTGTTTAAAGACACGTCGAGGTGATGTGAGTCGGGAGGCTGTATCACCCGTAGATTCCAGGTACTTGGGCGACAGTGAAGATGAAATACTGGACACTTGCAGTAATCATACGCATTACAGTGACTCTGCCAAGTAAGTATTTTGATATAAAAATTGTAAATCTGTAGCATAATCGTCTTACTATAAAATATATCACAATTCCTTTCAAACGTATAGCGGTTTGTGATATTTATGGAATTAATAAATAAAAATAGATATAAATGACAGATAATTCATATCGTTTGACATTTACCAATGCTTTCAAATATATTTGTAACCATCACTTTACTTACTGTTCTGATTAATGTCAATAAACATTATCGTTCATTCAATATCTTTAAAAAAACGGCGCAACCGCAATTGCTGTCACATGTCAACTAGTTGTAGCGTGAAGTTCGTGAATATCTTTGTGATAGGTTTTTAAATTAAACAATTAGGCCACATTATCCTCTCCAAATGATGTTGAAAGTAATGTATAATCTTATGAAAAAAGAATCTTTGTTAGTTAATTAATTAATTTATTTAAACTTTTTTGCACAAATAAAGTGTACAAATGGCGGACTTAATGCCAGTAGGCATTCTTCACCAGTCAACCGGAGAGTTAAGACATAAAGAATTTAATGAGGCGGTGCAATGCTTGTCTTTTGCTGATTCTTTATCGATAAAGAGAAGCGAAATCCCCTAGGATAAATGCCTCTTACGTCATTTAAAAGATCTTAATCTATTTACTGAAAATGTTAATAATATTCCGATTAAATTAATATGGTCGCTATTTTTGAAGGCATTTGAGGTTTACGATTCCAACTGCATCGGAATCTGGATCAACGCCATCCCCACTTACCGCGTCCGCACTTCAACAACACGAGACAGAGAGGGAAAATATCGAATCCGCTGTGAAGGTAAAGGATGACACTACCGCCACTACAGATTCCCATCTCATAGTAAGTGTTAACACAATCATATTTTGAATATACTTCGGAACGTATAGTATGTTACCTCTTAAAGATATTGTATAATCAGTAATTTGGTGCTTCTAATTTATAGTTATCGGGTTATATTTTTGGTATTTGCTTGTAAGAAATCTCTAGCAAGGTTTCTTTAAAACAACAATACGAAAACTTAACGTATATGTGCTTGAACTTTCTCGATACTTTTTTAATAAAATATTTTAATTATGATGTAATTGTTTATCGTTTTTTTTTCTATTACAGGACCAAAGTCACCCTCTAGAGTCACCACCCAAAAAATTAGCTACTGAAGCTTTAGTGATGACCAGAAAGTCGTATAAAGATACTGTGAAAGCAAGGTCAGTTGATAATATTAAATAATAAAAAATGTTGCTATTATTATAACTTCCATACAAATACATTTAATGAATGCAAAATATTTTTAATCATGTTTGAAGTATTTTTGATTAAATTTTATGGCAACTTCAATCAGTGTTTGTTAGAAATAGTAGTCATATATATTACAGTATTTGTTTATGTTTTATATTTAAATCATAATAAAATTTTATTTTTATTAATTATTAATTTACTATCGAATAGGCGTTCATTATCAATATCGGCAAACAGCAGCCTTTCTGATGACCCAAACACTTCGATAGAGAGTATAGCTGATATTCCCATCACTCTAATCAATCCACGTTACTCAGCTGAAAAGAGGAAAGAAGAGAGAGATATTGGAAAAAGAGACGGCTCGGTTGTAGATACGAAAGAGACAGAGTCAGTTGAGAAACAATCAGTAGAGGATGACCAAGCTAGTTTAGAAGTATCGGTACCGACTACTCCTAGAGGAAGGAGGGCGATCAGATCTATTGGAGGACAAAGCACTCCTTTGACGACTAGGTATTTATTACTAAGTATTTTCCTGCGAGCTCGCCCACGTAAATTATAACCTATGTGACCCGTAAATATTTTTAAAATCAGTCCATTAGTTGTCCTAACATACCTCTATAATATTAGTATACGTTTTTATTAACTACAAATATGACGTAGAAAAAAAAACTTTCCGATTGATTTTTTTCTCCATTACATAGAAACAGATCGCGTACTCCAGAGAGGAAAGTGTTAGAATCACCCAGATTGGAAGCAATAATAGAATCTCCTACAAAGTCTTCCAACACTGATCCATCTTCTTCCCCTAGTAGACGCAGTCTGAGGTAAGGAAACTGATTGTTGCATTATTTTCTATTATTAAGATATCGAAACTTATAATTGTATCCTACGCTAAAAGTAGGTTCTTTAGTTTAAATGTTTACTATGATTTATATAAATGAGACTAAAACTTAATAATATAGTTTTTATTATATTTGTTAAATTATTCTTAAAAAGAAATATAGTTCTAATATTTTTATTATTTAGGATACACATATCTTATAATTCAACAGAACAGAAGTTTAATAAATTATAATCTGCAGGAATCTTCATAGTCAGGATCTTGATTGTACATGTTTATGTATTTAGGAGTCGTTCCCGCACGCCTGAAGTAGAAATACAAGCTGAACAAACTAGACTTGCTAGTCCTCGGAGTTTGAGGTCAGTATTAATGACAATGTATTATGTAAGTATGTTATCTAAACTAATATTATTAGTTCAATCAAATCAGACAAAAAAATTTTTTTATCCTGAATATTTGTAACCTGACTCCTACAGTCAGGTTACAAAGATTCGCACCCAGTTGTTAATTAATAGGATTGTCCAAAACATTATCATTAAAGAAATGTAAACAAACTACTCTCAAAACCGGGGTTCTCGTTTGTTTTTCAGTTTCATTAAGTAAATTTATCTAACAGCGAAAAATCTTTCTGTATTTTTTTTTATATATATTTGACAAGCTTTACTTTGCTAAGTTTGATCTATTTAACGAAATTGGAAGCAACTCATTTAACAAATTAGTTTTAGAGTATTTTTTTTAATAGCTTTCCTATTTAACCCAAATATCTACTTTTACAAATAATAGTAGATATTTGGGAGAAATATAGACATATGCCAAATAATTTTATTTTACAGGAGCCGAGCTAAAACACCAGAGAAAGTAATGTCACCTAAAGTTGAACACAGTGCTAAAGGCAAAAAATCACTCTCAAGAATAGTGTTAGAAGCAAATACTTTTGCCAAATCCAAAATTAATTTAGAGCAAAGTGAGCAAGAAGATACTGAGCCATGTGAGAAAAGACAAAGTGCCTTAGAATGTACTCCCATGAAGACTATAAAACAAGTTCAAAGTTTGATGGATGTTACGCTTTCACCTATTGTAAACAAATCTGTATTGCAGAGTTCTACAGACAGTACTTTATCTGAAACTATGGTCAAAGAAACAACAAAAGCAGACAACGAAAGCATCGCCGAAATAGGTTTGAAATCCCTACCCGCGTTTACGACTATTCATGAGATTGATTATGAAAAGTCAGTTTTAAGAAGTTATCAAAGCAGTGTAGCAGACTCTTCTCAAAGTGTGCGGCAAGATAAAATGGATGTCGGTGATAGTTCTACGAATGCTAGTTTGAAATCTACACCAGCATTCACTACAATAAATGAATTAGGATTGAAATCAGTGTTGAATAGTTATGAAAGTAGTATTGCTGAAGCATCACACAGTATTCAAGAGGAAATTCATACTAAAATGGTTGAAGATAGTGGATTAAAACAGTTCGCATCTTTCACGGAAATCGTAGAGATTAACATTGAAAAATCTGTCCTACGGAGCTGCGAAAGCACTGTGGCAGAATCATCACAAGAAGGCGATATACCTGATATCAAGGATTCAAATAATTCGGCTCTAAAAGATATTTCCTTAATAACGAACGATAGCGATGTTGAAATGAAAGTTGAAGAAGTTTGGAAGACCAATATTGATAGCCAAGAAACAGCATCTGTGATACAAAAGGAGAAAGAGAAAATCGTTGATATAGAACGGGAGATTAATGAACTGGAAGGTGATATGACAGATGATACAGCGGGTAATGATAGTACTTCCGGTGATGAAGAAATAATGGAGGCACCTGAACGTGATCAGTCAAATGACGAAACTTCTGAAGAGGTAGGTCCGTTTCCTTTATTTAGTTTCTGATTGAAATTTTCTTTTTTTTTTTTTGCTAATATTTGATATTGACTACTATTTTTCACATGAAAAGTAATATCATAGTTTGAGAATTTTCGTTAAAATATATAAGTTAAATTAAGCTCTCTATACATATTTTTTTATGTTAGTCTTCAGCTGAAACCTCCGAGAGTGATGAAGAAATAATATCTATCCAAGACACAGAATCAGACGACACGTCTGATTCCGAGATGAGACTTCGTATTGATGAAGATCCAATGTCTTCCGAAGGGGAGAAACAAGATACTGGAACGAATACAGAAGCAGAAACCAACGCTGAAATACATATCGCGACTACTGACAAAGAAACTCCTGTTGAAGAAGCAGCACAACTAGATCCATTAGATAACGCTCAGCTGTCGATAATGACTGACGATAATTCTGTAACAGAATCTGAAAGGTCGGAAATGAAAAAGCCAGATACCAGTGATGTCAAGGAGGTTACTGAAAATGTTCCTATGGAAACAGGTATGTTTGATTGTAATTTGACTTTTTTATATCAGGATACGTATGTCAAATATTTTAAAAATAAATAACTTGTCTTGTTATTTTAGAACCATCAGTTCAAGCGATCATTGCTGTTCAGGAAGTTGCCACGACACTTGACACAGAAAATGTTGGGGCTATCGTTTCTCAAGATATTGACGTCATTGATACTGTTACTGTTAAATCTACAGATAATAGTGGGGCTGCCGAAACGAAACTTGAATTGGAATCTAATACAGATATTTCCGTAAAAACACGGCAAGATGTTAAAGAGAAAGATTCTGAAAAAGTCTTACATTTGAAACCAAATATCGAAATAGAAGCTAAAATAATGATGCAAAATGAAGTCGCGTGTCAAAAAACAAAAAAGGAAACAAATATTGAAAATAAAGAAATACAAATAGATTTACAAAAGGAGCAGGATACTCTTGAAATCGAAGCTAAAAAAGAAAGTGCCATTTCAAAATCTGAACAAGAAATGCAGCCGCAAAAAGAAATGGAAGACAAACCTGAAGCTAAAGTAGAGGAAGAATCCAAACCAGCACAAAGAACAAGAAAACGTGTAAAATCCTCTTCCTCCAATCAATCGATGACTGAGCCCAAATTAGAAGATATCGAACCTCAAACTCCAGTCACAAGAAAACGTACTCAGTCAAACGCTTCTAACAAATCAGTTGAGCCTGAGCAAAAGACGCCCGAAAATGATACTAGTACAACAAGAAGACGCGCAAAGACACCTACTAGCACAGAAGTGAGAAAGATCATAACACGACGAGCTTCCAAAGAAATATCTGAAAAGATGGATGACTCAAAAGAGATTCAGGATGATTCTATCGCGGCTACACCTAAAAGGCGATATAGTAGGGTCAAATCTAAGAATGATGACAACGAAAGTATCGCTTCAGAAAGTTCTGCGATATCGACGCGAAGTAAAGCTAGCGAACCTATTGATATAAAGCCAGCTCCGATAAGAAAGGGACGGAAATCTATCTTGACTACAAAGCCAGATTTGTCAGTGATCCCTGAGATGATAGTGGAAGAAGAGTCTAAAGGAACTGAAGATCTCATTAAGGATTATTCAAGCTCTAGAAGGTATACTTTATTTATTGCATATCTTTTTTATCATACATTCATACTTCACACAGTAGATTCATATGTTCATATAGTATAATATTAAGGATATAAAAGGTTCGAGATCTAACATTATTTACTTCGGTATCTTTCCAAATACTTTTTTTAAACATTTTCTCGCATTAGCTTTTAGTTAAATGAATTTATAATTAATAATTATGAAAATTATTGCTGAAAATCTTGATTACTTAAATAATAATTCATCATGTAGCTTTACACAATATGTACATAATAAAAAATCAAGTAAAAAATAAGTCTTATCAAAACAAAAACTCCAATTTATTTTCTTTGATAGCATGTTAACGTTAAAAAAAACCTATTAAATTTTTAGTTTATTAAAATAACGGCACAACTATAGGTGTACCAGAAACTGATGGCAAAAAAAAACTCGGTTTTCAAGTTTACTGTTGGCAACTGTCAAGTCAAAGTGTAAATTGTGAATATTTGTGACAATATTAATATATTTGTTAAATGCCCACAAAGCGAGTGATATCTCAAGCGAAAAATCTTGTTTTTAATGTTCATAGCTAAATTTGTCAAAAGAAGCTGAAAATCAACAAAATTATTTGATTTTAAAATGTGTTTGTCAATTGACTAGTAACTAGCAATGACGAGTCTTGATACAATTTTTTTTTAATAATTCTTAAATACTCTTGTCGTGGCGTGTCGACTACTACAATAAAACGAATTATAAGTGGTGGAGAAGACATGAAGACATTTTACTACACCGGGTAAAAATAGGAACCGCGAAAAGAAAATAAACTAAAGCAGATTTGATTTAGATGTGTAAGCGTAACAGCAGTAAAAATTTTAGTAGAGTTCAGCAATAGACACAGTAAATACATAAAGTAAAGCTTCTTTTATTTATTCATGTTAGATTCAGAGTCCGGTAAAATATTTTTTTATTTTCCGGGCCAGGTGCTGTCCCATCAAAATATTAGATATTGGTAATATAGTACATTCTATATTACGAACATCTAATATTTTGACGTGTATTTGTGCACTATATTATATCCCACGCAGATGGTTAGACTCGAAATTTGCCGATATAGGAATATTGTCAGGAGTACATTCAATGCTATGAGGCAGTTATTGAAAAGTGTTTATTTTAAGCGTATCCCCGGTCGCTTTCAGACTGACCCGTCACCAGAAGGCGGTGTTGGAGTCGTGGTTGGAGCCGGACAGTTCCCCGCGCGCGTCCCCCCTCCCGCGGCCCTCGTCCCGCGCCTCCCCGCTGCCCCTCCCCCGGCCCGCGTCCCGCGCGCGCCGCCTCAGCTCCCGTGCGTCAGACCTCTCGCACGACGATGACGACGCATCCTCCACCACTTCCGCCTTTGACGTCCAGCCCATCGACAGAATCAGCCTTCTCAACAAGCGAGACTTCGAAGGTGAGTCAAACACCTTTTTTAATATATCATTAGATTTCCCATTCTGATGCAATATGACGTATGGACTTTGTACTTAAATCTGTAATTTCAAAGACTATTTAATTAGATTATATGCATGGCGCTTCAGCACTTTTAATATGCATGTACAATAAGCAAAACTTATAATAGAACATTTAGTTTGACCGATATTCCTTTCTAAAATGTAAGACTTCTTTATTGGTTTTAATAATAACATTAATTTACAGTGTTATATTGATATTTATCTTGGAAGGAAATTAAATTAAATTTTTGTTACTGAACGTTTTTTTTTTAAAGGGGTTGGTAACTACATTGGATTCGATTTGGTTGGCATCGTATTCAATCAAAATACACAAATCAGTGTGTATATTTATACTTGTAAATTAGAGTCCAGTCAACTGCCTCAAATAATTCATTTTTCCATGTTCACATGGCTGCACAACAGGTTACCACTATACGTCATATTTGTGCAATTGAATTTGACCTCTACCTTCAATAAATTAAGGTTTGAAATCGAGTGGGGGAAATCAGTTTTATTATGCACTCAAGATCAGGGGTCGGCAACCTTCAGCTCTTTCAATAAATAGTTGCGATTCTTTACAAAAATATATATATTTTTACTGTAAACGATTCATAATACTATTGAGATATAATGACAATGACCAAAAGCTAGATATTTAATGTTGTTTATTTTAAATGAAATCTTATATATAACATGAATATATTGAAACGAAATCTCTCAGTGGGTCTTTGAAAATTGAGCAATTTTGTGAATTGTAGCTTTTGGCTCTTCCACAAGATTGCAAACTCCTGCTAAAGGCACACGTAACTGTTAATGCTATTTAAACTTTTTATTTTTTTCAACACGCTTTCACGCATTATTCATTTGCACTTCTCACTTACATAAGCTTACTATTAGGCTTACCTGATACTGAAGAATTGCGGAGCGAATCACCAGACTCATTTGCATCTGATATGAGCAGACAGCGTCGATGTAAGTAAACGTTTGTGGTATGCACGTTTAAACTATTATGCACTTAAACACTGCACTGCTAAGGTAGAATGTAACATTTACATATTCTTCTTTTGAACGCTTATAAATTAGGGCAGATAAAACATATACGCTCGAAGTACATAACCTTCCATTATAAAGCAATTTAGTGGCTCTTTTAAATTTAGAAAACTGTAAATTGCGACTTGCTTATGGTTGGTCTTAAAATGACACTGTTCCTTAATCTAGAATAATCAATGAAAGCTATGCTAAGATGAGATATATTATTTATTCTTTATTATACGTTTATATTATTTGACGACCTCCGTAGCCGAGTGGTTCGCACGCCGGTTTCAAGGTGTCGCCATCTCTGAGGTTCCGGGGTCGATCCCCGGTCGGGTCAATGTAGAAAATGAACTTTTCTATATTATGTAGGGTCTGGGTGTTGTGTAACTTTCGTTGTCTCAGATACTCCATAATACGGGGGCTTTGACTACTCATCTTGGAATCTGAACAATGTATGTGATATTGTGTAATATTTATTTATTTATTTATATTGACTGATTGATCACTCACTTGGCCACCGATACAAAGTGCAGAAATGTAACAGTTTCATTTCTTTTCCAGCGCGATTGGGTCGAGCAGCTTCGGAGACAAAATCAACACCGAAAACTGTCAAATCAATGAGAAGAATGTCGGTTGATGTGGGTTAGTTAACCATGTTTGCAGTTATTTGAGACGTAGTATGGTAATTAATAGGGAATGTTAGGCTAAGGTAGACATAGATGGCAGCACTACATTAGCATATACAGTAAACAAACTTTTTCCAACATTTTATCTTTCAAAAATTCATTCTGTTTCTTCTTACATCCCAATATGCAGCAATGATGTATTATTGCAAAATATTACATCGTTTCTAATTATACATTAAAAAATATTAAATGCCTACTATTCTTATCATTACATTACTCTTTGTGTACTCTGTGAAAGACGTTTAACTCTATCTATGTGTAACGAGATGGGTGACCAAAAAAATGTTATCTCGAGTTTCTCTGTGCTTCGAAAGGCACGTTAGCAGCAGTTGGCCACGGCTGCATTAGAATTCGTTAATACCCACCAATCTGTACAGAATCCGCGTGGAGAGTTATGGCCCTTCTTCTAAATCGATACAACCCATAGGGAAGTCCTGTTCCATAGCATTCAGGACATTAACCTATATATGCCTACAACTACTTATTTATTTGGCTACTTATACGCTCCTGGAACGAAATATTTTTTTTTTAACATTAACATATACATTTCAAAAAATGCATCCTACCCCCATCTTTATAAAAACGAACGGTAAGTTAGATAGTGCAGCCCATGCCTTATCTTAGGGTATGTCTCAAATGTTTCTGAGACCCGCAGAGGGACTTGCTGTTTGACTGGGCTCACCTGGTAAGTCGATCCGCAGGAGAGAATCTTGTGATTTGGTTTCAGCATGCATTAAATATCTGTTAGTACACATATTTTAAAATTTATAAGTGTCACAAGTCTAAAAAAGTTTTGGGTATTGTTCGTTTTTGCAACAATAAACACGTATGGGTTAAAAGGCTGATGCCGATACTTTACCGTGTACGTAATGTTTGGTAGCGGAGAGTCCGGACCGTGGATCACCAGTGGTGGGCAGTCCCGCACGGGGGCGACGCGCCTCCTTCAACAAGGCGTGTGAGGCTCTACACACCCCTAAAACCAGGAGACAATCCACTGACACTAGGGTTAGTATGGACTAGTGCCACAGCATTAGGCAATTGGGATCGTGATTATAAAACAAAACTCTCATTGAAATCGTTTAAAAACACGATTTAAAAACAATGAAAAATGCTTAAAAATCCACTTTGTCCATGGCACTCGTGAGATGGGACTCCAACCCACGACCTTTCGCAATCCGGGCGACTGCTCTAACCACTGAGCTATCCAGGACCTAACAGGACTGACGAATTTTTCAAGCACTTGTTACTATTTTTCGCTACTACTAATCTACTCAAACAGCAGAAAGAAATATTTAAATCTTCGATAAAGATGAAAATTTGTTCTAATTATCATGCGAGTGGAAATGTCACATGACGTCAAACCTATGTATATTACACAAGCGCTCTGTAAAAGCCTAAACTGAATAAACAGTTTTAATTTGATTTATCTGCATAGTTGTGACGTGTCCCTCAAATTTTCTCGTCTTCAAATTTGATGCCTATTACCTATCTAATTCACGTCACGCAATTATAATATTAACTTACTGCGTCATACTTATTCCTTATTGGTGTACCCGGCTAACTTTGTTCCGTCCAAGAAATTCGAATGCAAAAATATATAACCTTCTTGGTTCCGTACTAAAAGTCAATTAAGTATTAAGCGATAATTGAAAACAAACCATAGACATATACAGCATTACGTGAAATGTCAGTTGCGTTTTATTATAACAGTCAGTCGATGATATTTCAAGTTTTTTATTAATTAATATCCTATTCCCGACGAAGACAAATATAAAAATCGGTCCAGTCCAATCCATTATATTATATATAATCCATTATACAGGAAGCAATTAAAACCACTCTCCAAATTTTAGTATGTTAATCTTTACGACAAATAATGAAATACTTGTTTTTTCTTTTTATGTCGTTTAGAACAAAAATGTTGAGTTATATCGTCACCAAGTTATTTTCAAAAAACCTACATTTGTGGACGCTCCCGCTGCCCAGTGCGTGCGCTTTACGCGCTACGTTGCACTTACCCCTCCCTCCCTTGCCGCAATTCATTGATAGTAATAATAGCAGCTACCTAAAATGTTTTCGTTTTGTCATGCTTGGGGAAATGGTAAATAAAGTTGAAACCTCTTCATACTTTTACGGGCTTAGGACCGTCAAATTGCATAAATCCTATTAGATACCTACTATTACAATAGCTATACTGCTTTAAATTTATAAAGTAAGTAGGTAAGTAAATATCGTGTTACCTAAAATTCTGTTTAGTTAAACCAATTCAAAGTAGGTACTTAACTCGCTATTCTTTTGCAATCAGGAGTATTTAAAAAATCATCAACTTTATGTACATAATCAACTAATCAATTTACCTACCTACTTTAACTATTTACCTACGTATACTTTAATAATTGTTCAAAGTACATACCTCCTTAAATTGCAACAAGTTTACATTTCATTTTGAAAATTTTACATACCGTTTTTTTTCATATATGTGATCTATTAACGATACCTAATGCCTAGAAAAAATTTGGAGAGTCATTTTAAATGCATCCGGTATAAAATCCATTATATATTATTTTAGAAAGAGACTGAAAGCCCGCAAGATTCACCTGCGCCGTCTGAAGCAGAGGGGACTCCTGCACGTCGTACACGTCGCGCCGCGTCCACGCAATCGAACACCAGTCAGACTAAATCGGATACTGGCAAAAGGTAACACCAGTTTTTGTGAAGAGCCGAAATCAACATGTTCAAAATGTCCAGTTCCCAAAATGTTGAATTCTCGAAATGTCTAGTTCCCAAAATGTCAAATTCCTGAAATGTCCCATTCTCAAAATGTTCAGTCTAGTATTACGATGGATTTCTTGAATACACCTACAAATAATATGTAACAAAGTTGTTAAGATAAGGACTTCATTTAGTTGTGCATATTATTCTGCTGTCCGTACAATAAGCGCATAACTCGAAAATTTTAGCAAACTGACATTTAATTGAGTTCTACATATTATTTTGCTGTTTACAATAAGCGCAATAACCGGAAAGTTAAAGCAAACTATCAGCAAACTATATGTGGTCAAAAAAAAATTGATGTTTTTTTGTATTTTATGTTGCAGGTCAAGGAAAACTGTATTGGATGAAAGTAGTAAAAAGTAAATATAATGTAAATTATTATTTTGATTTTCTTTATTGAACTTTAAATAGGTTTCAAGTGTTTTTGCATTTATTTAATAAAATGTGATTTGTTAAATAGAACTCTTTTTATTAACGGTCATCCTCTATAAAAGAAATAAGTAAGCTCGAGTAGGTGGATTATTGTTACTTAACACTATTATTATCACTTCTGCTTCCTATCGAATCGAATAGCGATAATAGGCCTTTATAAATATATAAAATGAAACAATAATGGTAAAAATATTTAAAATATTTTATTTACATACATATTCAGTTGCTTCGTTACATCACTTATTTAGTTAAAATTTTATGCGTGATTTTTTCCTTGTTTATACAATAATAACACGATGTTGACTATCAATATATGAATCTCAAATAATTTAACATGTTTATAAATACCTAAAGGTATTGAGATCACAAAACTTAACCAATCCAAGAAAACCACAGACTTGTGATAACAATAATTTACGTAGAAACAACGTATTAACAAAGAATAATTAAATAATAAATGCCATATTTTAACAGATGGCGCTGTTGCCACGATAACAATCAGCTCCGTGTACTTTATTTACTTAAAATACATTTAACTATTTTTTGGAGTGGTTAACATGAGACAAGTGCTAATAAGCGTTTAATAGAACGTACTTTTGTTATCTACACAAATACATTATTTAAGTGAATTGTGAACGTTTAAACTGTGAATGTAAAAAAAAGTGAATTTACTCATAAAAGGATTGAACATCTTTAAGAGAGTGTGAGTTATTGAATATAAACTAATTAAAAAATATTATTATTGATGTGATCATGGAACAATTATAATATTTTGAAATTTATTACAAAAATCTTAAAAGTGACAGTTTATTTTATTTAAAAATAAACACCAAGTACAGGCTGCTTTCAACTGTCATGCTGCGGATATAAGGATAATTTTCATGTAAACAACTGCAATTTCAACGCCATCTATGACAGTACGGTACAAACTTTGCATATGATTGAAAATTTTCACTGACGACTGCAGCACCCTTAAGTGCTTTATGTATGCTAACGACCTAATGGTTGTGCTTTGTGCTGATTCTGTAAAGCGCCATCTAACAATAGATTTGTATAAACACTGCATCTGATGACTTATACTGTTCATATATTCGTCGGTTTGCTTACAATACAGTTGGTCGAATGGATCATAGCTAACTGATCCACCACATAGATCGGTGTTCAAACCTTCTGAGCGTTGCAAGTTGTTTTTATTTAAAAATTTTATTTCTTCTTATTTGTTATTGAAAAATAAACATAACAATGGAAAATATAACTTTTAGAAGACCGTTAATGAGGGCAAAATCCGATCAAGATTTATCAACGCATAATTATGTAGCAAACTCAACAATGAACTCATCTATATTGGATGCTACTATGAAAAGTTTACCGATGTTAGATCCGGATTCATCACAAATATTTGAATTGAAACGAGAAATTGAAGACTTACAAAATGAACTAAATATAGCAAATAAAGAGATAGAAAACCTGAATTCTGAAAATACTAATTTAAAGAAAATTATAGAAGATAAAGATCGGCAGATATTTCTATTCACAAATCTAACAAAAAACCTACTTAGCAAATAAATCAAAAATAACAAATACTCCTCAATGTAGGAGTGTCCCAAAATTTCCAAAACATCTTGAGTTTGGACGTTTGACTCCTCTGAACCAGGCACTTCATACACCAAAGATAAAACCTAGTTCGCGATTTTTACCATTGAGCGAATGTCAACGTAGAGCGTATGATAAAATTGTGTCTCCCTCTGTAATAAGCTACAAAGAATTGATTTAACGACAAAGGAAAAGCTTTCAATGGACGGAAACGACACATGTGAGGACTTCTTAGACGCATCGCAGCATTCGAGAGCAGCTGCATCAGAATTTCCTGGTTCGCAACTACACCATAAGCAGCGAATTTTGATAGTCGGTGATGAACAACTGCGATCGCTCTCTATACAACTGAAAAAGTCGACTTTAGCGGATGAGGATCGACAGCAATACGACATCTTGGGAATTATTAAACCACAGGCTACGTGTGCGCAGGTTTTGAATGGCTGTAGAAAGATGATAAGTTCGCTAAGTTTTAGAGACATTCTTATCTTGGGAGTGGGATCACATGATAGAAATCCATATAAGTTGCTAGCTGATCTTTGTTTTATTAGCAGAATCTGTAAGCTAAAATATTTATTGTGGGTGTTAGACATAATTCTTATTTGAATACAGTAATGTTAAATGAGCAAATCAAACAATTGGCCGTTAGCTGTGGTAATTGTCATTTTTTAAAAGTAAATCGATATATAGTGCATAAATATTATATTAAGGAACTAATTCATCAAATTTATGTTGAACTTGAGTTTATTAAGTGCCGTTGTTTGTTTGATACCTCAATGAAAACAAAATATGACGGATGCTATAGGGGTAATAATAATAGTGTGATTGGTGCTGTTTTGGGTTCGACACTCGATAATGAATTAAATTTCGAAAATTCAATAATTCCCACGTGTGAAACTGAGACTGATAGTAACACGAAAACTCTTGAAAACTACCCTGAAAATTTTTTTCGAGTTGAACAAACAAATACATAGTCTGACTCTATTTCATCAAAATATTGCCAGTGCTTTAAGCAAAAGAGACTTACTTTTAATAAGCCTACAAGATCTATCTGCTGAAATTGGTTCTGTAGATATAATATGTCTCACGGAGACATTCATTAAGCGCGGCTCAGAAGCAAATCTACAGTTGGCAAATTATAGACTAGTGTCATCCTACTGTAGAGAAAATCAGCGTAGGGGTGAATCTGCTATTTTTGTAAAAAATAGCATTAACTGTTGTGAGCCATTAACCGACTTATTTAAGCCAATTCCCCTTCACTTTGAACTTTGCGCTGTAAGGTTAGTTTTATTTAATGTTATTCTTGTATGCATCTACAGGACCCCTGATTCCGATGTTAAAATATTTTTTGATTCTTTGTATAAAACACTATCCAAACTAAAAGTAAATAATAATAAAACGGTCATAATCTGTGGTGATTGGAATATAGATATGTTGAAAAATAATAAAACCTCACAGGAGCTTAATTCGATTTTATCAAATTTTAATCTAGTGAACCACATTTTGGTTCCAACACGGAGGCAATCTTGTATTGATTTAATATCAAGTAATTACGAAATACAATAAGTAAAACCCACTATTTGGGACTGTCTGACCATGAAACGGCACAGACTATTACTTTTAATATTGTCAAAAAGCAACATCGAGAGAAACCACAAAGATGGTCTGAATATAAACGTGACTTTAGCTCTGAAAATATAGACAAATTCAAAAAATATATAGGTTCTCTTCATTCTCTGAGACACTGGAAGAGCATAATGTAGACAAGGCCTTCAACGAATTTCATGACATTATCACGCTCTTTTTCAATCTTTGTTTTCCGGTATATAAAGTAACAATAACTAAAAAACCCATTAAAAATAAATGGATAACAAAAGGTCTAAGAAAATGCTGTGTAAAAAAACGGATTTACTACCTCAAATATATCCAATCGGCAGCTAACAAGAAATTGAATCATAAGACATATTCAAAATACTCGCAAATATTAAAAAAGTGTATTCTAACCTCCAAAAAATAAATAGCACTAATTACATAAATAAGTCAACAAATCGTTGCAAAGCTGCATGGAGAATAATCAATGATAATTTTAAAATACAGACGTCTATTCTGAAATAAACGAAATAGAAAAGGATGGAAAAAAATATACCCATCCTCAAGAAATCTCTGACATTTTTAACGATTACTTTATAAATTTTAATAATAATAATAATATCACTAAGTCCCAACATCATTTGACACCACTATATAAAACAATATATCTATCTCCAGTAAGTCCTAAAGACGTATTTGATGTGATAAAATCTCTTAAACAATCCAATTCAACTGGATATGACAATATAAATACTACATTGTTAAAATTATGTGCTTTGAATTTTTGTACCCCATTAGCGCATATAATTAATACATCTTTTTTAGAGGGCACATTCCCTGATCGTCTCAAATATTCTGTAGTCAAGCCAATATTCAAAAAGGGAAACAAAAAGGATATGAATAATTATAGACCCATTACGTTGATTCCAATCCTTTCAAAAATCCTTGAAAAAATAATGCTCTCCAAACTGATTGACTTTCTTAATACCAATAAAGTACTAAAACCAGAACAATTTGGATTTAGGAAAAACAGCTCAACTGTTCACGCCTGTTTTGCACTTGTAAAAAACATTATGGAATGTTTAGATAAGAGAATGCCTATAATTGCATTATTCTAGATATGACCAAGCCTTTGATTGTGTTTCCCATGAAATTCTACTCCAGAAGTTGGAAAGTTATGGAATTAGAGGTAAAGCATTTGATTGGATAAGAAGTTACTTAAAAAATAGGTATCAATGCGTAGAAATAAATAAAATGATAGGCCATCATCAAAAGTACCTTTCGCTCTCAATATCTTCTTAACACATTCGGAGTTCCTCAGGGGAGTATCCTAGGACCCTTACTCTTTCTTCTTTATATTAATGATTTACCTGATGCAACGAAACATAAGTGTCTATTATTTGCAGATGACACCACAATTTTAATTAATGGCACTAACAAAACTACACTTGAGGAAGAGGCAAATAATGCTCTTCGAGATATAATTAGTTGGCTTGAAAGAAATAATCTTAAAATCAATTTAAACAAAACTAATTTCGTCGAGTTTCGAACCTATAATAGTAAACCGAACAATATTAATTTACAATATGAAAATAAGGCTGTTGTTAGAGTAGAAGAAACTGTATTTCTGGGCATAACATTTGATAATTATAATAATTGGAAATCGCATGTAAATAAATTGTGCTCAAAACTAGATAGATTCGCATACGTGTTATATCGTCTCAGACAAACAACAACAATGCAGGCGACATTAACAGCATATCATGGATACGTCTCCTCATGCCTAAGATATGGTATTGTCCTGTGGGGATTCTCGGTGGATGCAGAGAGAGCCTTTCTCGTGCAAAAAAAGTGCATTAGATCTATGTGTGGTGCGGGGTATCGTGATAGCTGTGTGCCTTTATTTAAAAGATTGAAAATACTACCGCTACCTTGTTTGTATATTTATGAAATTTGCATTTTTATACAGAAAAATCCAGATTTGTTTAAAAAAAATTGTGACGTCATAAAAAGGACTTGCCGAAATAAATTTAGATTATATGTCCCATCGCAACGATTGCAAGTTAACAGTAAAAGTATCAACTGCATGGCCGTTCGTATCTATAATAAATTACCAGATGTATTGAAAATTGAGACTCTCCGCTCATTAAAACTAATTTGTTTCTTTTTTTACTTGACAAATGTTACTACTCGGTAAAAGATTATCTAAATGACATAACATTATAATATTTTATTGAAAATTAATTCATATGTATAATTGTATTTTTTTCACTTGCTTTAATTTTACATTTTATATTTAATTATTGACATTTATAATGAATCTATGACATAATTTAATATAATCTGACATTTTTATGTAATATTTGTACGCCAACTAGGCAGATTTTTGTTGGGACTTAATTTGGCTATAACACCTTTGCATGTGTTTTGTATACCCAAAAATTTGACAAATAAATGAATTTGAAATGAATTTGAATTTGAATTTGAACAGTTTAGGAACATGTCGTAGTGCGATGAAAATATTAATATACGGGCACCTGCCTCTTAAAGAACCACGACACTAGGCCAATGCACACAAATTCGCTTTAGTCAGGAATCGTCAACAGTCTCGTAGTTAAAATGTCTTTATTTAAAAAAGATGTAATTATATTAATTTCCTACATTTTCACGCACACTATTCATAGATGAAACCGCTTTTAAATGATTTAATCGCATTTGTATTTTTCTTTTATTGACGTTTCGAACCCTTTACAGGTTCCGTGTTCACATAAATATTTTGTTTCATTTAAATATTTTATGGAAACGCTTACATTTATTAAATTAAATAATTAAAAAAAATATATTTGACGTATTTATTATTTACCCCTGGCTACCGTAAACTACAACCAGTTTCAATTCCAATTTTGAATAAAATTTATCTAGAAAATCTTTTACTTGCTTAAGGCGAAATTAGCTATTTATAAAAAAAAATAATGAATTTCACACATTCTGTTCAAGGGAGCTAAGTCATATAAGAAAATTTCGGGCGTTCCAACGCTCGTAATAATATTATAACCTCATTCTTATTATTTCCATTGTATGTTTGACGTTCAAAAATAACATGTATGTATGATCGAATGAAAACATGAAAAGACTTTCTTACTCGCTCATTCTTACGTTGGTTTCATAGCTTTTAGTATCTTAGCTTCGTTTAAGGATACAAAATAAGACGTTTTGGAATTTAAATTCCAAAATTATGTTCTCACATTACAATAGTCAATAAGTTTGCATCACACTGTAACAATTTCCCCAGGTATGTACTTGTCTCTCTTGGTTTATTTTCATATGTGAATAAAGAAAATTTAAACCTGGCAGTATAACTACGTTTAAAGGCATCCGAGTCTTATATTCTAAAAAAATATATATTTTCATCATGACTTTTCATCGTTTTCTATACTTTTCAAAGATCTACTTAGAATATGATGAGTTAACATATTCGGGTGCAATGGTAAATCCTTAGGTAAATCTACATCATTAAGATCTACTTTGGGTGACAGAACATGATTGGAATTACTTTTGATTATTTTTATAGTAGGAGTATCAACCAGAGCTTTACAGATTTCCTTGTCTTCCGGTTTCAATGTGGATTTTTCAGTACAATCAATAACTTCTCTTTTATGCCTCACGGGAGCATTGTTAACTTTTTTATCTTCTACTTGAATATTTTGTTGATCGTTGTTATTTATATTGTTTTTTACTTCATCAGTACTCAGAATGCTTGGCGATTTACCGTTCAAAGCTAAAGCCAAGGGTATATTTTGATCGACCATATTAGTAAGAGCTGGATCATTTTTCTTTTGAGACTCTTCACCCTGTTTATAAGATTGAGGCTCGTCTGGAGAATGTGAATGCTCTTTGGCTGCATTATCTTGTGATTTAATATTTTTTTCGGGTTGTTTCTCTTGGAGTTCAATATCCTTTTCAGGTAGTTTACTTTCAATCATTTGATTTTGTACTGGTAGATTCGCCTGTACGATATTTTGTGCGTTTTCAACTAGAATATTATTGCTTTTCAGTTGTGCGTTATTTATGTTTGGAGCTGCTTGTTCTACATCTACATTATTAGCTGGTTGAGGTATTGCTCCCGGAATATTTGATGGAACTTGAATAACGTTAAGCGCGGCTTGGTCATTATTGACAGAAGCTTGTGGAATGTTTGGTGCAGCTTCAGCGTGAACCATAGTTTGAACGATATTCGAAGCGACGTTACTAATATTTGATGCAATTTGGTTTTTATCGGGTAAGTTTAAATTTCCAACATCTTGTTGAATATTAATACCAGGTTGGACATTAGATTTTTGTTTCATCGTATTTTTGGGGAGTTCAGAGTTTCCTAAATCAGGATTATTCACAATTTTGTTATTCGGGACTTTGGAATCAGGGCTGTTATTTGCGATATTGGATGCAAGATTATCTTTTGCGACAGGGGTTTGTTGAGATGGGCTTGATATATTTATTTTAAGATTTTGATTATTTATTGCAGCATTATTATTACTGCGAGCTCCGTTCTCATTATTTACAGGTGCAATATTTGGTAAAACGGGCAAATCTGGCAGCTTCAATGGCTGTTCCGGTTTTTCTTGAGTTTCTTTTATTGCCACTATTGTTTCAACGGCTTTCTGTGCGATTTGTTGAACGGCTTCATTGGCCAGTTTTTCTAAATTATTAGATATTTTATCTTCATTGGATTGACCCGGCTTATCAGTAACACCGCCTAAACTTTGCAAAGCTATATTAGCAATTTTCTTTATGCTCTCTACAGCAATCTTTTTTGCCTCTTCATTGGCAACCTCATTTTTATTCTTCTGTAACTCTTGTTTCGTTTTATATATTTCATCTAAAATCTCTTTTTGTTCTTTGATTAGTTCTTTTTGCTCTTTGCCATGTTGTTTTATAGTTTCTATCAATTGTTGCTGCTTTATCATATTAATTTTTTCGTCATTTGTTGAAGGTTTGATTTGATCTTTCACTTTTGCCTCTTCCTTTTGTTTTTCTGTTTTTTCTTTGATTTCATCCTTCATTTCATCTACATTTATACTTTTCACTTCATTCTGTTTCTTCAAATTTTTGGGGTGTGATCCCGATACTTTGTCTGAAGTATTTTTAAATTTATTAGACATTACTTCTTTATTTTTCGTAGCAATATTAATAGCAAGTTTTCCATTTTTCTCGTTGGATTGCGACTCTGGTGGTACTGGATTTGGTGGCAGAATAACGGATTCTTTTATTGTTTCACCATTTACTTTACTTTTATCATTTATGATGTTGCCATTGTCTTCTGGTTTGAGGTTGAGACCTAAAAGAAAAAAAAATTCAAATGATGAGTCACAGGAACTCGCTAGGTGGCGCGACTCGTACAACATCGTCTCCGTAATTGAAAATTATTTAAAATACAAATAGATATCGCCTAGTGAATTGAGTGATATATTTCAATAAAACGTATCAAAGATTCAGAGTGGAATTGTTATCCAGCTTAAATAAAACCTTTAAAGAAAAATAAATCATAAAATAAATCTCAAAGAATTGTGACAAAAATAAACACAATATCAGTAGCAGCATAAATAATACAGTGTAAAAGTGAATAAAATATAGTGCAGAGGAAAGTGCGAGTGAAAATATGTAAAAAAATTTGAAAACATACAAATGATAAACGTTATAGACACTTGGTTCAATTTTTGACCTTTGGACTCCAATCACTCGCTTTACATGCTTTGACACCAGTGCGTTGTATGGAATGCTTATATTGGTCATTGCGAATAACGATCTACTAGCGCATTGTATAACAGCTCTGGTAAGAAACGGGCAATCGAGAGTTCGAACCTCCTGGCGTTGTTAGTTTTGTGATCTTTAAATTTTTATCCACAAGCATAAAACTGCGTTAAAATCGAATTTACACTTTAAGAGGTAACATAAACAGATAATAATATTAATACAAAATGAGTGTGCCGAGAACGCCGCCTCAGACTTTAACAATGAATAGAAGCTTAAGTGCGAGCGGTTCAACACCAAACATAACTACTTATTGTGAAGAAGATTATATTACTAATTTTAGCACGAGGAAAAGGAAGGGACGTAGTGATGAGGAAGAATACAAAAAGGATTTTAACAGTTTTCGTTCGGATATAATGGAGTTTCTACAGGACTTTGCTAAAAAACAAAACGAGAATTTGTCTTTCATAAAAAATGAAATAGGTGAAATCAAAAGTGAGATCAAATCTGTAAAATTAGTAACTGAAAATATAACACAACAAATTAATCAAATCAGTGATGAAATAGAAAATATAAAGTCTAAAAACACAATTACACAAACAAAAATTGAGGACATAGAACATCAAATGTCCTATTTGAAAAATCAGTAAAATTCTAACAAGTCCCATAAAGAAGCAACCTTTCTTAACCAAGAAATTCTTATATCAGAACTGAGGGAGCGTACTGATCGTGAAAAAAACGTTGTAATTGTGGGAATACCTGAAATAAATGATACCAATTATATTTCTAGACGTTCCCATGACATAGATAAATGTATAAAAGTATGCATATCCTTGATTGCTACCTGTCCTAAGCCAATAAAATCAATGCAATTGGGTAAATATATTCCAGGCAGAGATCGACCAATAAAAATATTTTTCGACAACAAAGATACGCCAAAACTCCTCCTCCGTAACAAGACGAAGCTCCCAGAAAACATAAAAATATACCCAGACCAAACTCCATCTCAAAATCAATATCTACAATCGGTCAAAGAGGAGCTGAGTAAGCGTATGGAAAATGGTGAAAGGGACCTAGTAATTAAATATGTCAAAGGAATACCACGGATCATAGTAGATAAAACTACACAAAAAAACTAATTACTCCTTTACTACTAAATAAAAATTGTACAACTGCACTACATCACCAAATAATTGATAAATATGAGAATATCCCACTTACTCCATCATCATTACGATTCCTTTACGCCAACCTCCGCAGTATCCGGAATAGAGAAAAATTTGACGAAATTAAGTGCATATTAAGAGCTATCCGAAGGAAAACTCACATTCTATTGTTCACCGAGACGTGGTTAGTCTCTGAAGAGGAAGCCCAAATATACCAGATACCCGATTATATACATATATATAATTATAGGAAAACGGGAAGAGGTGGTGGAATTTCCATATACATAACACCATTAAGTTCGATTTAACGGAAGATCTTATTGAAAATGGGAACCACTATTTATGGATATACGTTGAGAAGCTGTCACTTAATATTGGACTTATTTATAAACCTGATGGGAGCGCTGAAATAGAAAGTTTCCTAGATATTCTCTCATCCCAATTAGGGGAAAGAAAGAGAGCTGTACTCTTTGGTGACTTCAACACCGATCTTCTCACGAGAGACAACCACGTCACGCGATATAAGAGAGAATTACACGAATCTGGATATAAAATAATAAACAAAATCGACACAACATACGCTACAAGAGTTACAAGCAGTACAAAAACTATAATAGATCATGTAAGCACAAATGTAAACAATCATTCCTTCAGTCTTTCCATTGTTGAATCATCCATATCTGATCATAAACAACTATACCTTGAAATTGGCAAATTAGTACCTGAAATTAAGCAAAGGAATGAATATACTGCGATTGACTACGAGAAACTTTACAAAATCAGCACAGAATCACTTTACAACGATAGCGATGATGATTATAATAAATTAGAAGATTTTATATTGAAAAAAATACAGGGAAGCAAAATAAAGAAGACTAAAATTCTTAATCAACCACAAAATGACTGGATAAACAAAGATATTATTCAAGCAATAAATTCTAGAAATAGATTATGGAGTGAAACTAAAAAAAAAACCTATGGATGCAGATATCTTAAAACAATTCACAGAAGAACAGCGCAAAGTTCGAAAGATGATTAAGATATCCAAAGAAAAGTACTATCATAAATTGTTCCAAGACACATACGATCAACCTAAAAAAATGTGGGAATTAATTAATACCCTATCAATAAATAAAGCCAAAGGTGGCTCTGTTCCCTCTAAACTTATATCTGATTTCGATCTGATTACAGATGGTACTGAAGTTTGTAATCACTTTAATTCTTTCTTTTCGACTATTGGTGTGAACCTAGCCAATAAAATACCCCAAAAATATCATACGGATACCAGCAAGATCTTGATGTATGAACACAAATACCAACATGAAATAACATTACACGAATTTAAACCTTGTAGTATAGATGAAGTAAATAAAATTATAGATGACCTAGACACTAACACCAGCACTGGGTTAGACAATATTTTCACTAAAGCAATCAAATGTCTAAAAAATATAATTATAGAAAAGTTAGTACACTCAATTAACAAATGCTTGAAAACTGGAATATTCTCTGATTCACTAAAAATAGCCAAAGTTAGTCCCATATATAAATCTGGAATTAAAACTGACCCGGGAAATTACAGGCCAATATCGGTCCTGCCCGTCATATCAAAAATATTTGAGAGAATTTTGTGTGATCAGCTTAACGACTATCTATCTGAGAAAAAGCTATTAATTGACCAACAATACGGTTTTCGGTCGAAGTCGAGTACACTCACAGCTACTATAGATTTAATCACCAAAATAAAAACTCATATTGACAAAAAATATATTGCTTTGGGAGTATTTATAGACCTAAAAAAAGCTTTCGATACCGTAAGTCACCAAAAATTACTCTTAAAATTGAAAAATATAGGCATACATTCCACAGCTCTAAATATATTCAAATCTTACTTGCAAAATAGGTGTCAGGTTGTTAAAATTGGTGAATTCGTAAGCTCTCCCAAAGATGTCACATACGGCATACCACAGGGTTCCATTCTCGGTCCGATACTATTTCTAATTTATGTTAATAATATAAATAAAATTGGTCTCACTGGTCACCTAACATTATATGCTGACGAACATGTCTGTTTTATTTTGGTAAATCTATCCATGAAATAATTAGCGAAGCGCAAAGAGATCTAGATATCGTAAACGAATGGTTTAAGTGTAACCTATTGACAGTAAATACGTCCAAAACATCTTACATGATTATTTCGGCAAAAAATAAAGATATCCCAGACTTTGAACCTCTCAAAATAAATGATGAACCAATTCAAAGGTCTTATGAAGAAAAATACCTGGGGTTGCGAATTGATGACAAACTAACATGGAAACCTCACATTGAGCATATACATTCAAAGTTATCAACTGTGCTAGGAGGACTACGAAAGATAGCACACTGCATACCAAAAAAAGTCAAAGCAATTATATACAATTCTTTAATAAAGTCACATCTTGAGTACTTAATAGAAATCTGGGGGTCCGCTGCACCGACTAATTTGAAACCACTGCAAAGATCTCAAAACAAAATAATCAAGGTATTATTTCATTATCCATTTCTAATGTCAACTGAAAAGCTATACAAGAAAAGTAAATTACTTAACCTCTCCCAACTATACAAATATTATACATGTATATTGGTAAAGAAAATAACGACTAACGCATTCAAATCTGACATACAACTAAATATAAAGGAAAATACACATAATCTTCGGAATAGACAGAAAATTAAATTAATCACGCCTAGAACTAATTACGGGAAAAACGACTATAGTTTATGAGGGAGCAAAGCTATTTAACCAACTACCTAATGACGTTAAGACTTGTAATAACTTAAATGTTTATAAAAAAAAACTTATGCAACATATACAAGATTGTACAACAGTGCTAACCTAGCATAATATAATTTTATTGTATTCATACTCATCTCATTATAAGTGAAATGTAAATTTCTTACATATTAATTATTCAATAATTGATAATATCACCGTTGCTTTTTTCCATCTTCTCGAAGAAATCTTCAACAATTTTATCAATACGCTCCTTCGTGATATATTTCTCGTCGTACTTGTCGGCTTGGTTTTCAGCTGCTTGTAGATTTGCATAAGTACCAAGGACCATTATGATAAATCCTAATATTAATATGCCCTAAAAATAAAATTAAATGTTTTAAATTTGACACATTTTTGTTATTTATTTATTAGAAGAATTAAGTTTTGAAAAAAAAAAGCATCTACTTTTTACAACTGTCTTTAAATAACCATTAAGTATATTTGATTTGGTGCTATAAAAAAATCATATTAAAATGAAGGCGAAATATGAGATAAAATCATGAAATCTACGGTAACACAGATATTGAGAGATAATTTGTAAATTGTGTAAGTGCTAAATTTTTTTAGATTAATTTATCGCAATTCAAAATGCGACTACATATTGTAAAATCTCTCCTCAACATAACTTGTTATGTATTTACTTAAGACTGGCTGTCGCCTTCATTAAGGTCCCGGTTGATTCCCGGTCGGGTCAATGTCGAAAACCAACTTTTTCTTTATTATCTCTGATCTAGGTGTTGTCACCTTCTTTGTTTCATATTTCCATAATACCAGTGCTTTGGCTACTTAATTTGGGATATGAGTAATTATGTGATTCAAGCACTTACGGGTAGAAATCTTTTAATTTTAGCATAACATGAAATTTCTGTTAGTCATTGAATTTACCCACCTTCGCTAATAGCCTCTCATTGGTATCCTTAAATGTGAGATGTAGAAAGCAAGCGGCTGGGAAAACGAGGCAAACAAGTACACCTATGGTGGATCCCACTAGACCTAACACTAGCTCGATGTTCGGCAACAGCAGACTAACACCCAGAGTGCATGCCACTATACCAACTGTGATGCGACGAAATGAACCCTCTGGGATAGAGTTATTGATTATGTGGTCGTGATGAGAGGAGTGTACCTACAACAATACACAATTTCGTGCGATTATGTTTTTTTTTTTAAATATGCGTTCTTATAAACTCCTAAAACTAGTATTTTTAATTACATTAATAAGCTACATACATGGATTATTACTGCACTGCAGTTGCAGTCGTTAATACCCTCCTATCCGCATTGGGCCAGCATAGTGTGTATGACCCTCCATAACTCCATGAGTCCTTGCAGTGGGAATGTAAAAGGACTCATGATGATGATATAAATTATCATAGCTACTTAAACAAGTTCAAAACTGGCTTTATTAAGAAATTAAAAGAATTTTCTTATTGAAAAAATGCTTAAAAAATCCTCTTTGCCTCTGGTACTCTGAGATGGGACTCGAACCCATGAACTTACGCAATCTGGGCACCGCTTTAACCACTAAGCTACCCAGGACCTAAAAGAACTGACAAATCTTTCAAGCACTTTTTACTTTTTCGCTACTACAGAGCGTATTTTCATCAATGTTCAGGCAATCCACCCATACAGCCGAGAGAAATATTTATACAAATATTTAAACACTCGATTAAGGGCCGATTTTTCAAACCTCAGATAAAAGTACCAATTGTTAACTGAAGAATAAAGTTATTGGGACTCTTTAGTTGTCAGATAAATGATTGTCAATTTTTCATTTGATATTTATTCTATGAATAGCTATCTGACGAATAAACTTGTCTGTGAAAACGCTAACTTCACGAAGGTGAAACAACAATATAGAACGAACGTATGTTAGAAGAGAGAAGACTATTTCTTTCATTTCTGACATTTGTCAACGTCGTGTCTAACGTCATTCAGATTTACTTTTGTAATATTATGGTACGAGTGAGGTTATTTTGCTGTGTAGTAGTTTTGTGCTAATTTTTTCGTTATTACTTACAACTATTATATGGAATCGACGATGAAATTCATTTGAATCCCACTTGTTAAAATGATCGGTCCTTTCCCTTACAATTCTTTCTTTTCTTTCACATGGATTAACAAATTTCATTTATTATAATTTCTTCTTCAATTGCCATATCGTCAATTATATCGAAAATATCCATTCTATGAATATTATTTAGATGAAACACACGCGAAAACTAACCTCAAACTTCAATCAAACAGAAATAAAGCTCAAACATACTGTTTATCTGTGGAATAAATACTTATCTGGCCGTCGTAGTGACAGATAGACTTATTCCTCAGATAAGTGAATTATTCCCCGAATAAAACCTATCCGACGATTGAACAACGGACTTTTTTGCTATCTGACGAATAACCTTATCTGTCTGTTTATCTGAGGATTGAAAAATCGGCCCTAAGGCGAAAATTTTCTCAAATTATTTTATTTGATCAATTTTGAATTAACAATGCTATAGTGAAAAATATTCTTAATAAAAAATCATTTCAAAACTTATGATAAACAACAGTAGATCAACATTGTTTCTGCTAGTTTAGCAAAAACATTTCAACATGTAATGATCAACTCCGCAACACACATTATGGAAGCATCTCAGCAAAACGTTGCTTTGTTGACAAACAAATGTTGACAATAAACATGGGGCTTAATAGACGTTTGCCATAATGTTTTCAGAAAAAAAAACAAACCTATAACTGAAAAGAATCCTTAACCGCCTCTATATTCGACTCCAAGTCGATTTCAATATATAGAAAAATACATAGTAAATAAAAATTGTGATTATTTTTAAGAAATACTAATATTAAAATACTTTCATCTCTGAAATATAAACATTTTGTTAAAAAAATACATGTTTTTTATAATTATTACCTTTTTATACAAAAGTGAATAGAGACTCGCACGGCACGGGAATATAATAAGCGGGAAGCTGAACGCGAGCGACATCACGAACCCTAGCTTTATGACGTCACTAGCCATAGTTGGACTCAGGCTCATCAGAATATTGCCTATAACAAACATAAATATTGAGAAATAATAGACTATACCTTGGTATGAACATGCAATGACAAAAGGTTATTAACATTCAATATAATTTTTTAATTCAATAAATATTTCATAATGTCTGTTATTATTCCTGATTAACGAATAATAAAGAAAAATTATAATTTATCCATGTTTCCATATAATACCTCTTTGTAGAGTTGTTTAAACGAATTATAATTTAATGATTACACAGTTGTTATGTCAAATTTCCACACTTTTTTTGTTTTTTTTTTTGTTAAATAATTTTTATAATAGACATTTTGATTTCTTTTTTTTAAATAAAAAATCTATTATAATTACTAAATGAGTACATTAATCATATTACTTAACAACTTTTAGAGAGTATCGGTGTATCTAATTAATGAATTTTGAGTCGTTTTACTTTACCTAAGTTGTAGTGTAGTGAGCGTGGAGTTTGCAAATGATAAGTAATTTTCACCGACACCTTTTCCACCATGTCTTTGTGTTATGGCATTATAATTTTATGGTGTTCCTTACTATTATCATGAGTATTTGATTTATTGATACCTGATATTTCTTGTGCATTAAAAGCTATGTAGCCGAACAGTCCGAGTGTGAAGTAGACACCTGTACATATATTGATGGCGTTTTTCGTCACCAAGTTCATCTTTTCCAGTGATAGAGATGGTAGTGATTCAAATATTTCAAACAACTGTCTGTAAACAAACACATTGTGTAACAGATTGTTAAAGGATGTTCATACACATTTAAATATAATCACATAATATCATCATATGACATATGATAATTACGATTTCTGTAGTCGAGTGGATCGCAAGCCGGTTTTAAGGTGTATAGGTGGATTTGTATGTAGAAAATTGACTATTCTATATTGTTTCGGGTCTGGGTGTTATGGTATCTTCGTTGTCTCAGATACTCCATACTACGTTGGCTTTGGCTAGGTTGGAATCTGAGCAATGTAAGTGATGTTGTCTATTCTTTATATATATTAATGATGTACCAGCGACAAAAATTGAGAAGCAACCGACTTTCTTAGTTAGGTTTGGGTTTACGAGCATGAATGTGGAAATAAGCGTAAAGAGCGAAAGAAAGACTGAAGGAATGATGGATAGACATGTGTAAGAAAGGAGTGAATGTTGATATGGCGGCTGATCGCGAAGTATATTCTTCCATACTGCATATTGTGCCGACTATGACTATGGGAAAAGGGCAAGCAAGTGATGACGCTTACAACTGGGGCATATAGGTTTTCCCTATGGTTGGTATCAATTAGTGCCCGTTAATAACTGCGGATTTAGCGAACTTTTCAAAGCACAGACTCGAGATAGTAATTTATGGTCACCCTACCGGCTATTGTGAAACTTGCTTAGCCGCCTCGAGTAAGAACATGACAATAGGCTAACAGATCAATTGTCAGCAGACCGATCAAGTTTGTCCTAGGATTGGACAAAACAATACTGATTGTATATCGCATTTCGTATTATAAGTAGTTGAATGACAGCTTTTAAATGAAAATCAGTGACAAACTAAATAGAAAAAAGACATCCGAACACTCACGTTTGGCAGAACAGTGCCATTGAGAATATAGGCACGCACTGTAACACGCCCGCTGGTCGCCACATCTGCACACGAGACTGCCAGTCGCCTTCCAACAATACCGATGCAGCTTCAGCTATTACCTGGGGAAATATTGTCGTTAAATTATATCTATACTCATTAAACAAAACAACAAACAGTTTAATGGTCTGTTATAAAAGTTTTTGACAATTTTAAGTCGTAACATAACAGGTTAGTGATCACAGAGCCAATGAAGAATCATAAACACTGGGCCCACATGGTCCCATATTCCCTATTCAATTCCATTCATAGGAAGGCTGTGTCCCATTAGTGGGGATATTAATAGGCTAATGATGATAATGATCAATAAATACACTTCTGTGTATTCACTATGTATTTATTGAAATTCAAGACTGAAGCGATAATTAGAGTGGTGAACAATCAAATAGTGTGAAATAGTGAAGTTTATGTGTGAATTTTGTAGTTGAATTATTTTTGTAATTTTAATGTGTTAAATAAAGTCAGATTGTGAACTAGAATTGGTGGTAATTTTTATCCTGAACCCTAAGTTGTAACTTGTTTAAAGTTTAAATACACATATTGATTATTGAAAAATATTAAACACATGTTTTAATTTCAATCAATAATCTTGATTTCACCTGTAATGCCTAATTATCTAAGTATATTCTTGTTAAATTGAAGCAAAACATTAATTTATTTAATATCTGATTGATGGACTAAATAAAATTAATTATTTAAGGCAAGTATCATGCTCAGTCTTAAACATGGCATTTGAAACTATCTCTATTACTATAAATACATAACATTACTTGAATTGTTCAAGTCTTAAATTAAACACATTTTACACATGAATGAATTTTAGACAATGTTTCCAACTCAACAGAAACAATGCAATTATACTAAGTAATGTTTTAAGACCTTGTTGATAATTAAAAGACATAATTTCACACCTTCATGACAAGGCAAAAATAGAATCCTATAGTTGCCGCACTGACATTGCTCAAACTGTCCACATTCCTCAACAGGCCTAGCGGCAAAACACAAACAAGGGAAACAATCACCATTATTGATGTTCTGTAACAATGAAAAGAGAAACATATATTCTGTTTCACAAAACTTACATGTACATTTTAATGGAAGAAAAAAATATATCTGCCTGATAAGAGCCCCTCTAGATCTCTGGACTCTAGGAGATTTCTTTTTAGATGATCTAATTAATATGGAAATGTATGACAGTGTCATTTTATATAAAAGGTTGATCAGACTGAAAATCTGTAGTTTGTAGTAAAATAGAATAATAAATGAAAAATGGCCAAGGCCACATATCAAGGTGTTAAACTAGAAGCTTTTTATCTGATTAGCAAATTGCAGAATCTAGAATCTAGAGATAGAGGTGTAGGCAACTTTTATTTTATAGTTATAAATGAAATATATGTAAAAAAAAATATTAAAAAAGTCATTCATATAATAGTATATTAAACACTACTAGATTCTTTTTATTAATTTTCGTTCACCGTCTCCACCCAAATCATTTATTTCTTAGACAAGTTATTAAATGTGTATCATGCAGACTCAGACAGCATAGAAATAATGGCATTTTCTTTAAACAAGTTTATAAAAAACAATTTTTTTTTAAATAAGTTAATATGATTTTTTATTATAATACACAATGTGAAACCAGAAGCTATAGCTATCTATTTGTTTTGAGCACTAGAGTTCATATAAAATATTACAGTCAACAGCACATCAGGTTATACAAAAATATAAAATTTTTCCACTTGATTTTAAACCTTAATATAGTGAGGGTAGATAACAATATCACTTGTGGAAATTCCACACATTTTTGTAACCTGCAGGCCAATTCCACAAATGTTTACATAATAATCGCATCTGAATAGAATCTTAGCTACTTACATTTTGCGATTGTATTATCTACCTGAAGTACAATATTGTATTTCACTATATAAATAATAAATAAAGAAATAATATAATGCAAGTTGTTGATATTCTAGTTGACTGTACATAGATATAATTAAATCATATACCTTAACATATCACTTTGATTGATATTAAACATTTTAGAGATGATCTGTGGCCCAAGGTCTCCGACTACAACGAAGTAAGCTATGCAAGTGCCCATTAGAAAACCAATTATACCCACTTCCACTCCAAATTTGCCTGCTGTGCCAAAAACATGGAATGCTGGAAAATTTATAAATATTAATGGAATACATACAGATTGCCAAGCATTATCAATTACAATAAAAAAATATTTATGGTTAAACTAGGAAAACTATCACAACTCAGAAAATAAATATCAATATTATGTGTTATTATTTCAATGTCCACAATCAAATAACTCGAAACAAGTGAATGAATAGTTATAAATTAACATAAGAAAGATTACAAGACCATTTACTAACCAAGAAATTCAAAGTTCCTTCTTCTCGCAAGTAAAGCAGATTTTAATAAAAAATAGCAGCATAGTCTTGACACCAAACCCATCAGTAATAGAATTAGAGTAGCCAGCAAAACACCACACTAAAAGTAGCAATAGTTTTAGATTTAAGAATATGCAAGTAATAATTAAACAAATAATTTTTAGTTCATAGAATTTGAGTTGATTAATCGTTAATTAATGATCATGTTTATTTCCTCTGTAAAGATACATTATAAGTAGGACTCCATACGACTACTCACTTGTTGAAAACAGAATGGCATAGCTAATATGCCTACCCCTATTATACTATTAGCTAAAGTAATTGATAGACCCGTTGTTCCCATTATGTTGAAATATCGGAGTTTAACTTATAAATTTAGTTTAACGATAAATAATATCTAAACGACATCACCACAAATATAAACACGAAAGCACAAAACGGATGAAACAAAACACGAAGCAGTTGTTTGACATGACAACTGAATTGACTTGCTTGACACACGCATGACGTTCACATGACAGTGACATTACAGGGATTGCCAGGTTAGTCTCTATTTAACCCATAAATTTATTAAAAGTTTTACATTTGTTAGTAGGGTGTAAAAACGTTAACATCAAAACATTTACTCGATATATCATTATGACTTTTCTGAGAAAATACTCTTTGGAAAAGCAATATTATATGAAATAGTCTGCAATAACTCCTACTGTAGGTACCTAAATAAAAAAATATAAAATTGCTCAGATTTTAGTTTGAGTAGTCAAAGCACTCGTCACAGAAATCTGGAAAAATCAAGGAATCTGCTTTCCTGTGTGAAATAACATAGAAAAGTTCATATTTTACATTGACACGCCCAGAAATTGAAATCAGTTCCTTAGATATGGTGATACCTCTTGGAGTAAATGTATTCTGTGGATTATTCAATCAGCTGAGTTTGAGTGACAGCCATTTGACATATAGTGGTTTCTGTCATAGAGTATATTATATAGTAGTTAGTTTCTGTTCTGATAAAACTTGAGATTTGCAGAAATGTGCGAAATGCGCAGATAAGGCATTAATAAAAGACGCAGAAGAAGAAGAGTCTATCGTGTTTTGTTAAAATTGTAGTAAATGGATATCGGTTCTTGGTTAAAATTGGCAATATTTTAAAAGTTAACTTCTATTACTTATTAGAAATATTACAATGGTATATAAAACACATGATGCAACTGATGTTACAGTATTCCAGTCCGCTCTTGCTGGTGGAGCAGCAGGTGGTATAACAAGAGCTATCGCCCAACCTCTCGATGTACTGAAAGTTCGTTTTCAACTGCAACTGGAACCTATAAAGTCTGAATCTAATTCTAAATATAAATCTGTTACACAAGCTGTGTCATCTATCGTGAGAGAAGAGGGTTTGGCTACACTATGGAGTGGCCATATACCAGCTCAGTTCCTTTCGATTACGTATGGTGTAGTGCAATTTTCAGTATTCGAAAAGTTAACTCAAATATCTCAAAGATCTGAACCATATCATTATAAGAATAACAGGCACTGGATTAATTTTACAAACGGTGGTGTCGCCGCTACAGTTGCTACTATTATTTCTTTTCCTTTTGACACATTGAGAACAAGACTGATAGCTGAACAAAAATCACAGAGAGTATACAAAGGCTTTATTGACGCCTTTTCTACTATGTTGAAAAATGAAGGTTTTACCTCTTTTTACAAAGGACTATTCCCAACGTTGGGCCAAATAGCACCCCATGCAGGTATACAGTTTGCAATTTACAAGTTATTCACAGATAATGTATTAAACAGGATAGAGTATTTCCAAAGACAAAACACTGTGAGTGGTGTAGTGGAATCAACAATCCTGGGGAATTTATTAGCTGGTTCATTAGCTGGATTTTTTGCCAAGACTGCTATATATCCATTTGATTTAGTCAAAAAACGTCTTCAAATACAAGGTTTCCAAACACACAGGGAATCATTTGGTAGACAAATCTACTGTAAGGGTTCTATTCACTGCATAAAGCTGACTATAGTTGAAGAGGGATTTCTCGCATTGTTTAAAGGTTACGCACCAAGTACTTTGAAAGCTATAGTAGTGTCTGCCCTACATTTTGCTGTGTATGATGAGGTTAAATATTTTTTAATGAGAATACAGAGGTAATATCATCGATACCTGTATGTTTTGATTAAGTAGAGGGAAAATGAAAGTGCCATAGATATTTATTAACCAGGTTATTTATTCATTTTCCTTAAAATCACTTATAATTTCATTTATATAAAATATTGATTTATTTATAAGCAAAATGTCTCCACTCTTTAATTGCTATGTCTTGCCGGATGCACAATGATATGTTACTTCTATATCACCTTTATTTTTATATACCTATACAATTTATTTAATATGTTCAATTGATTTGATACATCTACTTCTATACAATATGGTTATGTTACATATTTGTAAAACAATACTTTTTTTCTAAAGAGTAAATTTTATTTCAATTAAAAAAATTACATTTGGAAAATTGTTTATACATCCTTATTATATTAAGATTAAATATTTTACTTTTTTATCATTTATGGAACATTTTTGTAATTTCTAATCAATAAATCAGCATTATTATGAATTAGATTATTTGATAGAGCCGTAGTAAATGTAACTAAAATGTTATTATTAAAATACATTTTAGTTAATTATAAAACTTGTAATTTATTTATTCAAAGAAATAATCTGATAAGTTCACATACATACAGCTCCTATAAATAAATTTGATCAACAAATATTGACTAAAAGTTAACCATATGATATGACATAACCCATGTTTCTCATTAATGTATCTTTTATAGCCGGTTGCAGTTCCTTTTTCATGTATGTTGTCAAAAGAGTTCTTATTCCTTTTGTAAAAATGTCTTCCATCTCTCTGGAAATATCTTCTACTTCATCTAGATCATCATCAGGTCTAAATAGCTTACTCCTTTCGTAATTTATTCTACTACGAGGTTCATATACTATATCCCAATTATTATCTGTTGATCTACTGTCAAGTCCATCCCTAATAGGTTCTGTTAGGTGAGCATTGAATGAAAATTCATCTGACCGTCTTCTTCGTTTTAAGGGCAGATTGTCCTTGTTTCTAACAGAGTTTCTGTTGATGTACTTTTCACAACCATACGCATATACGCTAATGAAGCCAGGCTCCACAAATTCAGAGTCTGTTTTGACATTGAACTTCCCTGGTTGTTGGTTCAAAGGTCGCGTGTGGAAACCTATCCCTGCTTTTCTTAATCTTAGAATCATGTTGCATCCGTTGCCACGATTTCGGTAATAGCGATCATCAGGATATGGGCCCTCGTAAGGCCGGGGTACATAGTCTCTTCTCGAACGTCCGTTAGGTGGAATCCCTTTATCCAACTCTGACGCATCGTACAAGTCCACGTTTCCACTTATAGTAAGGTCGTTAAACAAGAGCATAGTGTCCAAGGATACATTTCTAGGATCAAAGTAGCACTTCTCTACTCGCACCCAGTTGCTGTTCTGCGGTAGGCGAACTCGCATTCTTGTCACGATCATATCTACTGGCGCGCTCCTCATTTGCTGATATAAGCTGTAGCCATTGAGATCGATGCTTTGACTCTGTGATTAAAAAGTTTTTATTATTTAGGTAATTAATCACTAAAAAACCGGCCAATTGCGAGTCGGACTCGCACATGAAAGGTTCCGTACCGAAAACGAGCAAAAAGATCACGTTTTTGTATGTGAGCCCCCTTGTATATTTATTTAATCCTGTTTTTTAGTAGTTGTTGTTGGTGACAGCAAATAAATTAGCTTTGTTATGTGGGAGCCCCCCTTTAATATTTTATAGGCAATAGAAATAGATCAACTGTGAAAATTTTAACTATCTAACTTTCATGGTTCCTGAGATACAGTCTGGTGACAGACGGACAGACAGAGCGAAGTCTTATTAATAGGGTTTCCGTTTTACCCTTAGGGTATGGAACTCAAAAAAAAAGTAATATTAAAAACGTCATTTGATCTTACGAGAGGGGTATCCAAACTTTTTGGTTGGTTCCTCTTTCTTCTTTTCAACTGGTCCAGTGCTGATTCCAGTCTTTGCGAGCATCGTTCTCCGGCTATGGGAACGGTGGTTAAAGGCTGCAGACCACCAGGACCAATCTGTGGTGCGGGTCTACCGTCAAATCGCTTCACTTCGAATAAAGGAAGGAAGCGCGATTCTGGAATGAGAAAGATATATAAAATCTAAAGTTCTTAAGGAATATGTTATATCAATTTATTAATAACTTAAAAAGCTACACATGGTCATGATCTGGTGTGTATCGGCTGAACATCTGACATTAAGGAATCGTCTAAGGTAAAATAGGGGAAAATTAACTTTTTGATTTTATAAATTCAGATTGTTTGTATGGGTTTCTGAATAGAGAATTTAAAGTAAGCACGTCTAAAACCGTACTTAAACCATCTTAGGAGTCATTTAAACTGGTTTTCGTTTCTGATTTTAATATTTTTCATGATAAGTCGATAACAGTTTGTTAAAACTAGGACTTTTTGTCATGTTTAATGTAAAAAACTTAGTTATTGAGAATAATCAGTTGAGATTTTGTAGTTTTCTCAATTCAGAAACCGCCCGATACTAAGAAGTAGTCTAAGTAATTACTTAAACACATATTTTTATCCGATATATGATAATTTTAACGAAGTTTGAACTGTTAATAGTTAATATTAATAGTATTTTAACTATTAACATTTCTTAAATCATTCAAATTCTTGTTTATTTGGTAAAAATGTCTGTTTAACTTATGACATATTCTCAAGTAATTAAGAATAATTACTATAATTAGTAAAATACATGTTAGAATTATGATGTACTCGTAGTTGTCTTATTATACGTAAAAAATATCAGTTTTTTCGTGTAAGGCCATCTTAACTCCTAAACCACTGTTGAATAGGAAATTTCAAGCATTCATGTTGTTTGGTGTTTCCTAGTTATTGGTGAAATGAATTTAAACCTTAGGCGATTCTTAAATACTTAGGCATCAGATTTGGGCGACTCATAATTTTAAACTGTCATTAACAGTATTCGTATAATTAAAATTTTGGATTATTATGTGTAAAAAATAATTTATTCGCTTGCCATTGGCAAAATTATGCGAAATGCGCAGATAAGCTAATAATAAAAAAGATCAAGAATTAATATTTATCTACCGCCTCCTTCGGGAGTCAATTTACATACTATGATAGACTTCAACGAAACATTTTTTTAACAAAACTCCTTTAACTAGTGTCATCTTTAATATACGTCTTCTTTTTATGTAGGTATTACATACTGTTTTCTCTCGAGTAGGTGTATTTTTTTTAATCGATCAGTAGTCTCCGAGTCTGTTTAATGCAAACAAACAAACAGTCATATAAGTATAAAGTAATTGTGGTATAGATAATTAGCTATTAAATAAAAAGTAACGTTGTAATCGCACGATCACGTTCTAGATAAAACGGAAAGTTATTATTATATACCAACTATTAAAGGTAGGTCCGTCTGTTTACTATACTTGTGGATGTTGTCTGTTTTCACTTCTATTGTTTGTGTTCAATACCGTAGCAGTTTCCATTGAGAGGTGGTCTCAAACTCAATTTGTAGTTTAATTGTTTTTAACATGGGTATCAAACTAGACGAGACATGATATATAATATCTTTAAACGAGCAATTGTGTATATAAAATATAAATTCTACGATCCGTAACTTTATAAATTCCCTTGGAAATCTATAAAAATTTCGTAGGACTTTAAACGAGATATGAATTCTATTATATTATGCCCACATTTCTGATCAATTTGTGGAAAATTTATAAACTAACGGATATGTACTCATTAGATTCTGAACAGATACACCAATCACAGAAGAGTTTTTAATTTTACGCTTCTTTAAAATACGGCAAATAATACCTACACTGCTCTCAAATTAGTCGATGTTGACATTGGCGATGTTTGTGTCCATAGGCTAAGGTACAATCAGCAGACTTACCAAACTATGTAGTGGGTAGGACTCGCAATTATCAGTTTCTATTACCTACCTAAGAATTTTACTTTCAAAGTAGGTACGTACGTACCATTACAAACTTCTGTACGAACGCGAACCAGGAAGCACAAGTCACATGTGTCATATTTAACCAATCAGGAGGCCAATTCTACTAAATAAATTTTGTTTAAATTGAATCGAAACAGTGACATACGATACAATTCCAGTTCTATTTTAACTGGAATTGTATCGTATGTCACTTAGTAGAATAGAAAAACCATGAAAAACTGTAGTTTCGTTCGGTTTCGATCCGTTTTAGATTCGATTTAAATAAAATTTATTTAGTAGAATTGGCCCCAGGTTTGGTTACTGCTTACTTATTTATTATTGTACGCGTGAGTCCGGTAAGTTTATCAATTTGCGAAAAATTCACGTAAAATAATATAATTTATCTCAATAATCCTACGAAAGTTTATAAAGACATATATAATCTAAATCTCAGAAACGGCTCCGACGATATTCATGAAATTTAGTATTCAGGTGGTTTCGGCAGCGTTAAATCTAGCTAGCTTTCATTTACCAAAAAAGCAGACTACTCTAAAGAGGTAAAAGTTCTTATTTAGTTTGTAGGGGGTGATCTTCGGTAATACTGTTTCGATCATCTGACGAATTTATCTGTCATATAATTTTTTTGGCCAACAGAAGGCATCATTATGGGTTGTTATGATTTACGTGTGGGCATAGTACGTTACGCGAAAATGCAAAGACAAATGAAAAATTTTCATATAATGTTCTTATTAATCACCTATGTGAATTTAAATGTCCTTCCTTTCAATTTAAATTATGCAGACCTCGTCGAAGGCCGATATTGTGCTAGTTTTAGAGTCCCGTAGAACAAAATAGGAACCCTTATAGAAGTGGTTCTGAACCCTTCAGTGATTACGGGCCTCTGACATATTTCTGTCTAGCCATAGACTACTTGGTCTATTTACCTAAATGTAAGTAAAGGTTTAGTTTTTCTATGTATCTATTAATAAAACCTTCGCTCCCCGGACCACGTGGGATGCTTCCAGGGACCATCAGCGGTCCGCGGACCACCGGTTAAGAGCAAATGCTTTATAGGATCTTTTGGATATGTGATTGTACGTCTGTAACAGCCAATTTTCTCCGAAACTACTCCACCGATAGAATTGAAGTTTTAAAAATATATGTAATCAGTGACTCAAAGATTGTCATATAAAGTATATAACAGTTGTCGTAAAAGCAGCCACTTTCGGCGGTAATTTAGGAAATTTTAAAAATATTACAAACATAAGACAAAACGTTTTATTTGATCCGAGTTGTACGCTATATCAAAGGGCTTATTGTGAGGTTCTTAAATATATATCTATTATAATTTTTAATAATTAGTTTTGAAGTTATACAACGAAATAAAAAAAAAAAACTATTATTCTCCTCGATTTCTGAACCTACAAATACTAAACTTTTGTAAAAAATACAGAAAATAGTTCGTTACTTACATATATACAGATTACAGGAAAAACTTCCCTATATATATATATATATAAAAACCTATTGGAAGTCTACAGTTTTGAAATTGAATATTAGCGCAGAACCCTCTTGAAGTCCGACTCCCTCTTGACCTGTCAGACATTCCGATATTCGTGTAATATTCGCACATATGTTATTCACATATGTTATTTTTTTAATTGTTTTCGACTTTTACCAGTAACACCCATTTTCATTAACCTAGAATAAGGCATAGCTTAACTAGGACACGTATTACGAATCGCCTAAGCAGATTAGCTTAATTCCAAATTTTTTTTTATTCATATATTCCAAACGCCTAGCGCAAGGCGCCGCATAACGAATATATTGCTTAATTTCGTTTGGTGGTTCCTAGTCAATGGTGAAATGATTTTATACCTAAGGCGATTCCTAAATATTTAGACGACATATTTGGACGACTTCTAAGTTTAGTGAAAATATGCATAAGTGTTTAAAACCAACTGCTGAAATTAGGCATATTGTAGTAACCTAATGTGCCGCCCTGTGTAGTACGCTCTTCGCCATCGGAGAGTCTCCGCGTATGATATATTGATCAATGAAAATGAGCCTTAACAGACGGATAATGGAAACATACATACAAAAAGACGTTGAGGTCAATTAACAATTGAACTGCCAGATCGATTTTGATAATATTTTTATGGAACCACCATGGAGTATAAGCTTTTGAATCGCTCTACAATTCTCGGAGAAATCGACCATACATAAAAAATGACATATATCCTCCTTTTTTATTTTGATGTTAGTTAATAAAACAGCGATAGCGGAAGCAAGGCACCCATAATCCAGTGCACGGCAGCCGTAGCGCTACCGAGATAGGTATACCTGCCCTGTAAATCTGTAAAAATTCAAACCCGTATTCGAATTCACTCAGGTGTCCGTATACACTTCAAATAGCGGCATCAGCTCAATCTTGAATTGGTAATAGCGTTTCGTGGCATAAGTGAAGTGACGTTCGAAATGACACAGGAATAGAACTGAGACTCGAATATTCAATCACATTTGTTTTTATTTTTATACAAATAATGGAATCAATAGAATTTCTACACTAAATGCCGTGAATTTCGGACATATTAGTGAATTCGAAGTCGGGTCTGGACTTTTACAGAAACGCAGGGCAAGTAGGAGAAAGTACGGGGTCCAATACTCGCGATCGTCAGTTAATAATTTTAGTTTTAAGGTTTTTAACATTTTTGCTTCATTAAATCAAGTCATATGTCTATACTAATAAGGTATTATAAAGAAGAAAGTGTGTTTTTTTTTATTAAATCGGTTCCTGGACCTGGACTGGATCGATTTAAAAATTACCTATGGGAGCTACATCATACGCGGGTGACATAAGCTATAATTTAAGGAGGCGTAATCGCGGGAAATCAGCAAGTATTATGAATACAGAAAATAATAATTTAAAAATATTTTTTAAGTTTACATAATGAGTACGTATTGTGAATCATAAAATTTTCAGGGTAACAAACTAACAGGGAAAGCGTGAGAAAAACTTTCAATGTTAAACCACGTAATGTCTGTGTCATTGTTTATAATTCACTTTTTCTTGAGTCCGAAAGTGGTTTTATAGCTAGCAAGTCCAAATTATTTGGTGATTGTGTAACATTAACGGATCTAGATCTTTTAACACGATTTAAAAGCTAATATTTCAATTTCAAAGTCGATATTGTAAGAAGGTTCATTCATAACGACATTTTTTTTCTAAGAATAAAACCTATTTTAAGTATAAAATTTTCTAAGTATAAAAGTCTGTGATTCCGAAGTCACCTCTAGGGTCTAACTTCATATTTTTGTCGCGTTTTGGGAATATAGTAGAAATATAATAGTCCAGTCAATTACAGTAAAATTTTGAAAGTGTTCAACGAGAAATTAAGTTTGGCAATTTCTTTTTAATAAATAAATTACTTACTTGTTTAACGGAAGATTTCAATGTGTTTACTTTTAAAACCATAATATAAAGAGAATCTTAACTACGCGTTTTCACCAGCGTAGGTAGTAGATACTAAATAGGATATTCCAATCGTAATTATATTACTACGAGTAGCTATTTTTAAGTGTTTGTAGTAATTTGCCCACAAAACGATTAAAAATTAACGTAATTATCCTTCGAATATGTGCTTTAGTTTATACTCCGCCAGAGATGGGTAAAATGTAATTCCGATTAGGTGAAGGAAAGGCGGATCCAGGCGGGTGGTCATGTGTTCATGACCGCCCCGGCTAGATCCAACTGGACTACTAATTAAAATTGATAAACAATATTATTATAGAATTTTTGTCCCAATATAGATTTTATTTAAGTACTTTCAAAATTTACTTATAATAATATAACAATTTGTATATCATTATAATTATATGCAATCGGGTCTTGTTCGTGCATTTTTTAAAACAATTAATTTACCTCGACGTTTCGGCTACGTTACAGCAGCCGTGGTCACGAGGAGACTGGAGAAACGTCGAGGTAAATTAATTGTTTTAAAAAATGCACGAACAAGACCCGATTGCATATAATTATAATGTATACAAATCGTGTGAGTTTAAAAAAAATTTGTATATCACTTTGTAACACTTTGTTTGTATATTTAAATTTTTTAAGATATTTCGGTTCCTTTTCAAAACTCGCACTCATTGATACGAACTTCTCCGATTATTATTTATTAAATGTTTATAGTTGCTACTTATATAAAGACCATTGTTGATATGCTTTAATACCTAAAGAATTTGAAAACAATACGAATATACAAAAAACTGATAGTACGAAGATCAATATTAATCCAAAAGTTTTTTGTTAAAAGATAATTATACAAATAAAACATAATATTAATTAACCATAACTATATCTAAAGGAACCATTAACAAACCCACCTTTACCCACTTCTGCGTCGGGCAACTGATTATCACTAGCCGACACCGTTTTTGCAAATAACATGAACATCCACCAGAATCTCACCATTTCCAACACAACAAACATACATCTAACTCGACCACGTTAAATATTCAAACTTCTTTCGAACTAGAGTATTAAAAAAAGTTGAATATTCTTTTTACGAATTTGCGCGCGGAAAAGAACGTCTTGTTGTCACCGCAAGACCGAAACATGGAATACCGTGCAAAAGGTAACCCGCTAAGAAGTGCAGTCTTTGGAAAATAATCCCCGCTCTATGCAATCTTAGTTTGTCGGTACAACCACCAACAAATCTAACTTGGCAATTCTATTCCAAGGATTCATTTGGCGATTACAATTGGTTATGATATTTTGCCAGTCTAAGTTATATCTTTACTAATACTCATACGAATTAACATGATACCTGAAGGCCTATTATTATATTTCTTCGAAAGTGAAATTACGTCTATTTTTAAAATGCTAATACGACTCTAAAGAAGCGCACTCTTAGATCATTTATGATGTGGAGGTACTTAAATAGGATCTAACACTGACTCTGATGCACAAATTGTCTTCATGGATATGACTTTAATAAAACTAAAGGAACGATCGAAGTTTTATGAAATTTCGTTCGAGGACAAATAGAATAGGCCCACAGGTGTCATGTTAATTCGTACAAGTAATATGTATTTTTATATTTAAAAATATATAAAGTAGATAGATGCGTAAATTTCATAGTTATATTGTTTTGTTATTAGATGTTAGGGTCATGGACTTACTACAATGATTGTGCACTTAATCGGTTCAGTAGTTTTGGAGTAATTAAAGTAAAATTAGTTGCTACAGACAGATAGACAAGTAGGTGATCCGACACGGTAATTTATACTATAATGTTACAGAGTTTTAAAGCACACCATACAAGTACTGTATCATTATTTCAGGATTACCAACATGCCAAAAACTAATTCAAATTCAATGATAATAAAAGACATCTCAGTCTACGTACTGACATAATTACAGATGATTACGGCATGCATTAATTATTTTTGCAAAGCTAGGGTTTACTATCAAGTTCATTTACTCTCGATTCTCGATCATTACGTAAGTATTTGAATTGGACAATGTGTAATGTAAGTGTAATTACAAAAAGTAATTAACATGACAACTATTCCCATTATTTCATCACAGACTATTCCAAAGAGGGCTATTCTATATTTATGAATATTCATAAGGTTTGATTTGTCAATCGTATGGCCATAAAGCAGGCAAACTCTACAAATACTAACTCTTTATTTGCTTTTAAATAGAGCAGGTACATGCACACAATAATGAGAATTTTAGACCTCGATCAGTTATTATTGATGAATGATGCTATTATATGCAAAATATTGGGGTTTAAAAATAATAAATTAACATCACACTTCAGCTTCACCCAAAATAGTTCTATTGCCTTAAACTCTTGATCGCGGCGTCATATATTTTGATAAACATCTTCTTTAGATATATTATTTTGAGAAGATCCGTCCCTGACTTTAATTCAGTAGATGGTATTAAGATTGAGCAAACACTGATGACGAAGGTTGATTATTAGAGCGGGAACGGAGATGTCTCTGAATTGGAGACATTGAGAAATTTTTCATTTATTGCTTTTTTCACTCTACTTATTTTAATCTTGATTGTGCCATATAGTAGGTTAGTACTTACACTTATATATAATTCTACATCAGTGTTAGGATTTTATATTTACATCAGTATCGTAAATACGTGATTACCAGTGAAGAGTTGTTACTTAGAAAATGTGTTATTCTCGTAGGAACAGACGAATTACTCTGTTGCTCCGAAACATAGACATTCAAAAAGCCGCTGGCGGAAAGCTAGTACTTGCATAAAGATATAGGTACATACATACCTACTCACACCGAAAGTTTAAAAAAGTTTGAAATAACTTTTTTAGTAAATTAACATTATTATTTTTCCCAAAAATAAACAAAGGTTTTAAGTACTTTTTATAAAAAAGAGAAGAAGAAAGTTTAAAGTCAAGTGGAAAAGTTTGAGAGATTTGTTCACCGTAGCAAAAATTGGCAAACATAGACACAGAAACGTAATGCATAATTAAACGAGTGGTTAATTCTTACCTTATTTATTTATTGGCACATAAAACAAATTATAGTCATATATTTAATAAAAAATAATATATATATAAAACATTACACAGAACTATAATTCTTAATATTATGTACATATAATTAACCCCTTTATTTAATCAAGAAACGGATAACTTGAAATCTGATCAAATCCTTAAAATTCGTTAAGTTAAATTGATATTAATAAATAAAATAAAAGCCAAGGACTAAAAATAGCTAGGTACTCTTATTATATTATTTCGAATCGTAACCTGCCTCACCGAAAAAGATAGAGAAAAAAAATATATAAACAGTTAATATTTTTCAGCAATAAATACTCTTTGAAACTTTTGCAAGTTTAGATGGAAATTTCAAGACAATCACGCTTGGAGGATATAAGGTTTAATGTGCGACACATTCTGACGATCGGGTTACAGGAGGATGTGTTATTGGTGCAAACTTGGAGAACAAAAGGTTTCGGATTACGGGACCAAAATCGAATATTAAACTGAAATCAAATACGGAAGTCTATAATGGAGTTAACCAACTTACAGCCAGTTGCACAAATGCTCATTAAAATTGGAACTGACCATTAAATAGGGAAATTAGGTCGAAATATCCACGGCGGGTCTCCAAAGACATCGTATGGAAATAATCATTTGTCTTCATAAATTGTATTTTTTTCTGCGGTATCTGTAACGGTAACTTAGAATTCTAAATAATTTATTCTGCACAATATAATTCTGCATAATTCAATATATATTTTGTAATAAGGAGCCTATACCACATAGCACGCTGCAATATTCAAGCAAACTCCTAACCAGTGCTCATTAAAGATATATGAACTAGTGGGTCTCCTGAATTCCTTAGTACTTCGAGAAATAAATCCCAACATACGATTGATTTCTGAATGATACCTACTGTGGTTCTCTTGCAACAGTAATAATTAGATAACTATCTATTACCAAAATGTTCAAGCAATAATGATTAATTGCCTATACTAATATTATAAAGTGTATAGACTTTATTGTTTTTTTGTTTGCATTGAATAGACTTTGAAATTAATGGACTGATTTTAAAAATTTATACAACCCAAAATACATCATAATGAAAAATGCTTAAAAAATCCACAAAAGTAGATTTTTGGACTTGGTATTCTGAGATGGGACTCGAACCCCATCTTAGAGTGCCAGGGCTAAAGTGTCTTTTAGCATTTTTCATTAAAAATACTCGTATGTTTGAGTATAGCATTGTGAATGCAAAATTGATCAAATATAATAATGAATCTGATAGTTTCAAATTATACATATATATAAAGTTCTTGCGTTACTGAGTAACTGACTGACTGACTGACGTACAGACAACGTATAGCCGGAACTACTGAGCGAGTTGACTTGTACTGAGAAAGTTGAAATTTAGAATGAAGATTCTTTAGGGAGTGTAGACGAGCACCAAAGAGAGGATTTTTGAAAATTCCACCCCGAAGAGGCTAAATTAGGGGATGAAACTTTGTGTGAAGCTTCTTGACTACAGTGCTGGGAGTTTCTAATTTTGCATGAGAATTCTTTTTAGGACGTAGATGCTCACTAAGACGGGATTTTACGAAATTCGACCCCTAAGGTGGTAAATCAGGGGATGAAAGTTTTTATTGAATTTTCTCATTTCTGGACTTAAAACTAGATCACGTGGGCGATGTCGCTGGCAAAAGCTAGTTGTAAATAAATGCTTTGGATGTCTCAGATTTAAAGATGTTCAGAATATTATTATTATCTCGTTTCTTCCCCAACTTTTCTGTTTTTTTTCTATAAAGTCCTTTGTTGCCAACTTTTTTGGATATATACAATATTTTAAATTAGCTACGTTAAAAAGTTTAAATATTGAATATACCCAAAAACGTTGACTCAGCCACGCGTTGATGTAGCTAATAGAGATAAATACAAAGACACAGAGATGTGAAATTTAAATAAATTGGATTGGTAATTTCGTAGTTTATGAATAACATATATAGTGACATGAGATTTTCATATAAGTACACGTATTATAATATAAAATATATTTTAAAATGTTACTTAATTTCCGCCAAATTATGACACAAAAAATTCATGTATCGTAATGTACATTCGCCATCGAACATATTAACCTCCTCTTTTTGGATTTGAAAAGTGATTCTTGTTGTGGGTTTGTGTCTAACCCATATTTTTCTTAGCACATTATTTCTAAACATCATATTTATTTTAATTGCCGATTCCATAGGTACGTATATCATGCATACAAAAGATATCAACGAAGCCTAAAAATACCACAGAAATTTGATTCGTAAGTTATTTTATTGTTTACAAAAGAATGAAAAAGATACTTTGATACTACCTCGTAATTTTGAAATTCTCTTTACTTAATACTTATGAGTTTTAGGCATTATAAAAATATTTTTATGAAATAACTGCGCTGCGGGTTGTTTGGTACAGCATAAATTGGGTAATTTGATGGTGACCTAAATTCGATTACCGTAAGTCTACACAATTCTAGAAAAATCGTCACCGTAAAATTATGACGATGACACCACATTTTATCTGAAACGCCATCATGTTTCTCCCGGCAAATCACAAGTAGAGTGTGACGCAATTATGAAGGAAATTAGGTTGAGGCTTGACGCGTATTAAGCCGTAGTAAAACCAGGTTGAATGCCCTCGCCACTTGATCTTATGAGTCTAATATCTTATCAGGGACACATTTTTCAGGTTTTAAAGTTCATTCAACTGAGATAATGACTATAATAACAGGCAGCCTACTAAGGTTAACTAAAAAACATTTTTATATATACATACTTAATTCTGAACTATCTTAATTAATACTATTTTAAGCTTATGTATAATGAACACATTGATAAAACTTGGCTTATGTTTATTAAAATTTAATAAAATTAATGACTCGATTTTTTCTTTTTTATGTAAGACTACAAAATTACACTTTAGTGCGATGTCAGGCCATATCGATCGAATTCACAAAACAAGTTACAGTAATATAATTGAAATAAATATACATAACTAAGGAATAAACCATACCGTAACTCTTAAACAGGTGAGCATAGT